GCCATTATGAAGGTAAAAGAGTAGCAATACTCGAGAGCACGTAGATGTGAATTTGAGAACTTGTACAATAAATATTCGTACTTGTATGTAAACATTTACACTCACAGCTCCAATGTGAAACCCTGTAAAATAAAAATCTGAAGTTGAATGTTGAAATTTGCACTCGCAGACTATAGTCACAAACCTGTATTCTGAATTTGAAGCTGCAGACAAGCAGTCACAAATGTGTAAATGGAGCCGTTTTATTGGTTGGCGCCTAGCCAATGAAATTGGACTTCTATTGTACGCGATGATGTCACAAAACCCGCCTCCTCGTGGATGTTCTGAAACGCTAACATGACTTAATGCATTAGACTGATTTAAAAGACATGAATGATATTATCAAACTTAGTAAACACAATAATGCATACTACAGAAAAGCAGATGAGCACAGAATATGAACGCAACATGTTAAAGGGATAGTTCACCCAAAAATTAAAATGCTGTCAGTAATTACTCACCCTCATGTTGTTCCAAGCCCGTAAGACCTTCGTTCATCTTCGGAACACGAATTAAGATATTTTTGATGAAATCTGAGAGCTGGATCACTCCTCCATACTAGTCCATTCTTCAGGGATTGAACTTGCCGGCCTCGAAAAGTTATTAAAGACATCATTAAAATAGTCCAAGTGACTACAGTGGCTCAATCTTAAGTTTATTAAAGGACAACTCCGGCGCAAAATGAACCTCGGGTGTAATAACACATTGGTACAGACTAAATCGTTCCCTGAGATTTGTTTTCATGATAATCGAATGTAAAGAGTTTTATCTCTAAAAACAGTTTAGCTTATAACGCTAGTATATTGGGCATCGAGTAAGCAAAAAGAGATCGCTAGTTAATACCATTAACAAGGCTCAAATTAGCCCCACACTAACACGGCAGCATAATGAGTGTCCTTACATGCAAACCGAAGCATTGAGAACTTTGTAAGTGTATAGACAGTTTAATAAGAAGATACTTTACACAGACAGTACCGTTAGCGCATACAGACAGCAGCCATCTTGGAAAACAGTCTCGATCAATCGAACCGGAGGTGAGCGAACAGTACGTGTAGCAATAGAAGATAAGATAAATTATATTTATTTTTTTATTTTTTCTGTTGCGTTCAGTGCTTCTCTTATGCGCTCAGTGCTTTCTTCCGGAAACAACGGACCATATGAGATTCCAAGTCACAGTTCAGCTCACGTATCACCGTGTTCGTGGTTTGACTGATCGAGGCTGTTTTCCAAGATGGCTGCTGTCTGTATGCGCTAACTGTACTGTCTGTGTAAAGTATCTTCTTATTAAACTGTCTATACACTTACAAAGTTCTCAATGCTTCGGTTTGCATGTAAGGACACTCATTATGCTGCCGTGTTAGTGTGGGGCTAATTTGAGCCTTGTTAATGGTATTAACTAGCGATCTCTTTTTGCTTACTCGATGCCCAATATAGCGTTATAAGCTAAACTGTTTTTAGAGATAAAACTCTTTACATTCGATCATCATGAAAACAAATCTCAGGGAACGATTTAGTCTGTACCAATGTGTTATTACACCCGAGGTTCATTTTGCACCGGAGTTGTCCTTTAAGCGACGAGAATACTTTTTGTGCGCAAAAACAAATAACGACTTTATTTCAACTATTCATGTCCTTCTCTTTGGGCCTCTAGTCAGTTAACGTAGTGTGATTCCGTATAGAGCTACGTCACACGTAGGCTCACTATTGGCCGACGCTGGTCATGTACGTGATGCGTGTGACGTACAACAACAGAAGCGTACGCTGTTACACTGAACTGACTCGAGGCCCACAGAGAAGGCCAAACTCAGGAAACCCCATAAATAAAGCATACAGAAAAGCAATTGAGCAGAATATGAACGCAACTCGTTTAATTGTACGTTAAGCATTTTCCTCTCATAGAAAACCAAGAAAACGCTTAATGAGGCTTAATGGACCAACAGTTATAAAAAAAAACACACACACACAATTCGTTATACATTATTAATAAAACACAGGCAGCTGGTATATTTGCACTGAACACAAATTTGCTTTCTTTCGTCATATTCTGTGCTCATCTGTTTTTCTGTAGTAGGCTATACATTATTAGTATGGTGTTTACTAAGTTTGATAATATCATTTATGTCTTTTAAATTAGTCTAATGCATTAAGCCATGTTAGCGTTTCAGAACATCCACGAGGAGGCGGGTTTCGTGACATCACCGAGTACAATAGAAGTCCCATTTCATTGGCTAGGCGCCAACCAATAAAACGGCTTCATTGAACACCCCCCCCCTCTCTCTCTCTCTCTCTCTCTCTCTCTCTCTCTCTACTACTGAGTTACAGGTGCACAAAATCAGTTTTGCACCTCATATATCGCGAAAAGAGTAGCAAAAGTCAAGGCGCGAAATTTGAACTTGCAGTGACAGATTTGAGAAGTTGCAAGTGCCAATTTGAGGTTGTACTGCGAATTTGAATGTTAGAAGAAGTGCAAATTTGTATTACAAGTTTGTGTCTGTCGTTGTATCTTTGTGAATGGCATTTTACACATTTGTGACCGCTTGTCTGCAGCTTCAAATTCAGAATACAGCTTTGTGACTATTGTCTGCGAGTGCAAATCTCAGCGTTCAAGTTAAGATTTTTATTTTACAGGTTTTCACATCGGAGCTGTGATTGTAAATGTTCGCGTACACATACGAATATTTATTGTACAAGTTCTCAAATTCATATCTACGTGCTCTCGAGTTTTGCTACTAATTTACCTTCATACCGCCTTTTGCCCCGTTGTACATTGTAATTTACTAACCCATCCTAGACATTAGACAGTATGAACAGTAGGAACAAGACAACACAAAATGATGCTAATCTATAGCTAGTTATAAATCATGGTAAATGAACTAAAAGTGTGAAAAGTCTAAAAACAATGACTGATTATAAATAACCCATTATATTCTGAAAGGTAGTCAAAAATTGGTCCAAAATACTAAGTCATGTTTTGGGTGATTCTCTGAGATGGGTGCCTTTTGGGTCATACCTTTTTTTTTTTTTATACCTCAAATAGTTGTATTTCTGATCATTTCATGTGATAGTGGATTAGTCAAACCTTTAAGAAAATGCATTTTCCCACCTCAGGCATGAAATTCTAATCGATATTGAGTGTTTTTTCTTACTGAAAGTTGTTTTGAAGTTCAACCCCGTCACAGACCACTTGGACCCTGTTTAAATATGGTTTAAAAAGATTTTCAAGTAAATTCTTGTAGAAGCTTTTCAATGAGATGTCCCTTGTTTGATATCATTTATTGCCTGTAGAATTTTATTTTTAAATACTCACCATTTGAATACCAAATCAGCTCATGAAAACTGTATCTAACATTGGTCTTCATATCTTATCACAAAATATGCATTAACATTAGGATTTAATCAGGCTTTCGTATTTTTTCCGACTGTCCGGTAAATTCTACACACAGCAAAACAAACATTGACCTAATTTGTCTTCTTATCACGAAAATATTAATAAAAACTATCAAATAACAGGGTTGAACTCAGCATAACGGGGTTGAAAATGATAACAGGGTTGAAGTGATCATCATTATTTCAATATAGAATGGATTTATTTATTATATATTACGACTTATTCTTTCTTTTTCCCTGCCTCTGTGTCCCTTTTCCACCTTTCACGCTCACTCCTGAGATATTTTTCCCTTCTCTCTGCGTCTGCATCCCTTCTTGCTCTGTACTGTCTTTGCCTCTCTGCTGCTGTTTTTGCCATTGCGATGTCTGAAAATAAAACGGCATAATCAATTATTTCTGACAGTTCACATCACAATACAACAAGTCTACAATTGAATAATCTACTAAGAAGTGTCAAACATTCAACCCTGTCACAACGATTCAACCCTGTTATACTAAAAATGTGACGGGGTTGAAGTTTTTGGCTAATAGTAACCATAACTCCTTACTTAGCAAAGACAGTAGCACCACATGGCATTTAGGACATCATAAAATTGTAATGTTTTGCAAAACTATTATTTAATTCTTCTCAAACCGTTGTTTACTATCATTTAGTCATACAACAGAGTTGAAATGTTGAGCCTGACAATCTTAATCTGACAGCGAAAAACATGAAATATAGGTAAGAAAAGATACTGACACTTGCCTTTCTTTGCAGCATGTTCTTTAAGAGACTTGTGTGATGTCACTTCCTGGATGAGATGCCACAGGGATTGATCCATTATTTTTATAGGGGGGTAAATAGTATGGCGTGACGGGGTTGAAAACAAACTGGAGGACGTGTATAAATATTGTAATTTCATATATAATTAATTATTTTTTTTATATATATGTATATTTTAGTTAAAGTAGACCAACATATGATTATATTAGCAGCAACATTTTGGTATTAATTGTACTTTTTATTTGTTTAATATGCAACGAAAATGTAATGATGGTTAGTGAGGACATGCAAACTTGCTTGTTGTCTACTACTTAGGCAACCTTATCTTTAAATTAAATTTTTTTTTTAAAGAAATTGTGTTGCATTATAATGCAAAGGCACCTGGTTCTATTAATTGACAGCATTAAAATGCATTTTGTGATTTCCTTCAATTGAAAATCTTTGTAGCAAGTTTGGGGGACTTGAAGGGCACCCAATTCAGAGAATCACCCTTTTAGTGAGCTATCATTTCACCTTTAAAAACGTTTTAAAAGGGTTACATCAGATATGATTTGGTTACGTTCATTCACCCACCCACCCATCGACAAGTCCCGCCCTTAACCTGGTCATTCTTTGCTATGATTGGTCAGCACTAGTTATAAGCATTCAACGATTGGACAGATCAGAAGTCAGTTTATGTAGCCGTAGAAACAACACCAAACAGCAAATCAAGGGCGTGGCTTATCAGAATTCTAGTGGGGACAAAAAAACGCCCCTTTAGTTTTTAAGACCTCTAGAGGAGTTACGTAGCCTACATGACAGCAGCACTGACATAACATTGAAGATAAGGATTTCAGCTAGACATACTGCTAGTGCCTGAGCGTGGGGTTATACAGTAAAATCTCTGTTTCCAAGTGGTATCGACCAAGAGCTTTTCTACTCGCCGAAATGTCTGATGCTATAAAAAATGTGGCAATATTCGGCTGCACGGGGATGACAGGGTCAGCGACCTTACCTATCGCAGTGACCGCAGGTAAAGTTAAACTCTTAAACAATGACATCTGGGACAGAGCTGATATTTTAAAATGATCCTGTGCTTCTCAATATTTCAGTGCAGCAGCTGTCTTTGACCTAGCAAAGACGTTGTAAAACAGAAACTGTTGTGTCGAAAGTTGTAAAATTGAATGAAAATAGGATTAACACAGTCTTTATGAGTTGTATATTAACAATTGTTGAACTTGGATTTTCTGTGGATTGGCATTTTGTTGTTAAATTATGTATTTGTTTTATTTGTTTTGCTAACAGCTACTTTATGCATTGAGATCACGAGACTTTTGCGAAACTTCTTAGTCATGCATAATAACTAATCTGCTGAGTCACAAGAGTATGCATTTTAAAGATAAGAAGGTTACACCTTCTTGTCTGTTTTTATCTGGACATTGCATGGGTCTGAATCCGTTTGCCTCGACTTTAGCTGGATTATTGTCATTTTTGTTTAGAGTAAATAACTATAGATGAAAATGTAAAGATATGCCGTTTTCATGAATATGATACAAATTGGTGCCAAAATAGTGTTCAATTTGTGTTTCTTTTCAAATAAATTTTCAGTGAACATATCTACCTTTTGAAAATATGATAATCTCAATTTCATAAGAGCGTTTTTTAAAATTATTATTGGTTTTACTTCACAAAATTTGATTGATAGTTGGGAAATCTTATGGTCATCCTGACCAAACAGACATCTTGCATGATCTATTTTGCCGATTCTTCTCACGTCTTTGATTATTTGCGCTTCCAGGTTACAGTGTGACTGTGCTGGTGAGAGACGCTGCAAGGCTTCCTTCAGACCACAAGGCCTCCAGAGTGGTAGTGGGAGATGTTCTGAACAAAGAAGATGTGAAGAAGACCCTGGAGGGTCAGGATGCAGTCATCATCATTCTGGGGACAAGAAATGATCTCAGTGAGTTTACTTAACCTAAAAACAAATTCACTTAGTAATGTAGCTATTTTTGTCCTTGGTCATATACACGCCATTATAAGATACGAATGAATTTTACTCAAAATTTTAAGTAACGTCAGCATGAAAACCCTATTTTATTTACGTAATTCGATGTTATTTTGGGTGTGTTCACACTTGTAGTTCGGTTCGCTTGGTTCGTTTGGTCTGGACCAAAAAAAATTAGTCTTGATCCCGCTTAGCATTCACATTGGCATTTTAACACCGAACCCTAAAGGCATAGGGTTATGTTCACAACCTGATTGGTCGAATTTTATCACGTACGGTATATTTTGCAACACAGACCTTACCGAACATCCAAAACAATGCTGTGTGCTGGGCTAAATGCCCTCGTTGTATGTGCGTAGCTACATATGATGGTATTTTGACCAACTGAGAACTCGTGAAGAGCTTATAAAATGTGTAAAGGAGTCAAAACAGCGACAGGAATCCCTCCGTCACACACACACACGAAGATCTGCTGCTGGGAGACGCAGTTCTGATGGCTTTACTGAACTGTAATGGGCAACATCATTGTGACTATGATGAGAAAAAAACAGGTGTGCTTGAGCATTCTGTCCTTTTTAGGGTCGCATCTTATGACATCATGTCCCGTGTTGCGTTCATATATCATCCGAACCGCACCAGAGTTTGTTTGGAAGTGGACCGAGACCCATCTTTTCAGGAGTCTCGGTCCGCTTGTTTGGTGCGCACCAGGGTTCAGATGGCAGCGCTCACACATGTTCAAATGAAACGCACTAACAGAGCAATCACAGCAGGGTTCGTTTTAATCGATTTAAAACATGCCAAGTGTGAACAAACCCTTTAGAGTAAAAAAGTAGGACGGGACTTGATTTTATCCATTAGGAATTGATTGCGTTTACCGGTGAACTAATTGCACATTATTAACTTGTTCTATGAAATTTTGTTTGCTGGTCCCACAACAATGATGTCTGAGGGAACACGGAACATTCTGGAGGTCATGAAAGCTCGTGGAATCCGCAAAGTTGTTGCATGCATGTCAGGTATCAATGTTTCGATCCATATTTCTCCTTCATTAGTGTGTAAGTGCATACTTGCATATGAAGAATTTGTCATCGCTCTCTCTTTCTCTTTTCACAGCGTTCCTCCTGTGGGATCGTGCCAGAGTTCCTCCTCGTCTTGTGCCGGTCACTGAAGATCATGACAGAATGAACACTGTCCTGAAGCAGTCAGGACTGGACTATATCGCAGTCATGCCTCCACATATTGCTGGTAATTAACATTAAGTGACCTACATCCCTAAAATATGAATTTCAGTTAAGTCATGAAACGCTAGATGGCGCAGGCTGATAGGTCCTTACATGAAATTTTGAAAGCAATCACATCATTGCCACAAGCTGATTGGCTTCTGCTGATCCTGGAGCCAATGAGATTGCTTTCTCAACATTTAAATAGACTGGTTCATTGTTTGCTGTAAGCCAGTCCTGCAGTGCGCTATCATACCCCTTTTCCACCAAAGCATTTTGAGAGCCGGTTCGGAGCCGGTGCCTACTCGAGAACCAGTTCTTTGTGTTTCGAAAGCCAAAGAACCGGTTCTCGGCCAGGAAAACTGGTTCCAAAGCGGCACCAACTCTTTACTGGACTAGAACCGTTCTTTTACCACGTTATGCTTACGGCGGGGGCTGGAGGCGGGTTTAGATGTGTTCTAAACATCTTTTCTGACCCCAATATAGGATCGCCAGGAGAAACATTTGCAGAAACACAATGTAGTCCGCCATTGTAATTGTTATGCTTGAAGTTGGTGCAAGCGTTTCTATTTTTTTTTTTTTGAAAACATTATGTAAGGAAAGAAGAAAACAGTCACAATATAGAACAAATAAATGGAAAGAAAAAAAAGACACAAGACAGGGGTACATAACTAATCAGAAAAGATTACATATCAAAGGAAAAGATTAAAAGACTTACATATTTCAATTGTTTTTAAAGCCTTCTTGGTTCACGAGTTAGAGATAATCCCAAAGTAATGTTGTACTTGCAAGCGTTTCTAGCTAAGACGTATGGCGACATACACAGTGACGTAACGACGTCGTTCGCTGCTGGGCGCTCTAGTCAGTGGAATAACAAACAGGTTCTGAGAAGGTTCGCAAGTTGAACCAACTCTGAACCAACTTTGAACCAGCACCAGAACCACTTCTTTTTGGGTGGAAACGAGGTATCTGAGTTCTTCTGAACCCCTTCACCTCCCCAGCTCCACCTGCCTAAGGGTACGTTTACAACGATATGTTAAAACGGAGAAGTTTTTTCTTTTGAGTTTTCCACGTACAGACGACACCATAGTCAAAACGATCCCCATTCGCACGGATCCGCGAAAATGACTAAAAACGCTGTATTCTGCAGCCAAGGCCATTAGATGGGGATGAAACACTATAGACTGAACATGTAATACGCATGTGCACGACGTCATTGTCTTCAGGGATTCACGTTTTTGATGTTTACATGTTTTGATCGTTTTCAAAATCTTGCACTTCGAAACCCGTTTTCAAAAGTTTGCGTTTTCAGGCACCCAAAACGCCGTTGTCGTGTAAACGAACGTCCAAAACGCGTAAAAGGTTGTACGTTTTTAGTTGAAAACGGTGTTGTGTAAATTTTGTGTAAGATTTATGTCTATTTGTGCAGCAGCAGCAGCATATCTTACATGCTCACAGCAGTGTGTCTGTGTATCTGTGTATCAAGTCCAAACTTGCTTCTTCTAATACAGCAGCAGCAGCGTAGCAGATCTAGTCCGCCAAGACCAAATACACTAACATCGCCTTATTCAATAACATACCAAAACTATTCTGAGAGTTGTCATGGTTGAATTGTGTTTACAATTGCTGTTTTGGTTAATTATATTTTGCTGCCAGGACCTTCAACGCCAACACTTGATCAAGAAATACTTTGATTCATTTTTGTTGTCTTTCCAGATGACAAGCCTCTGACAGAAAAATACACCGTGACTGAGAACATGTTAAAAGGAAGAGTCATCTCCAAATATGACCTGGGCCATTTCTTTGTCAAGTGCCTTTCCACTTCTGAATGGGATGGAAAGACAGTCGGAGTTAGTGGAGAATATAGTTAATCTACTCAGGGCTTTGTTTAAGTGCTCTCAGTAATTTCTCTTTAGTGGTACTAAAAGCTCTCAGTCCAGACAGGGGGAGCTGGACATCATTTGGCTCTGCAGTGAGCAACATATGTTAACAGAGAAAGTTTTTTGATTCTGATTTTTTTTTTTTTTTCATGAACACATATGCTGCCCAGCAATAATTGTACTTTTAGTTAATCATCGCTTAAAAATGTATTTAAATTTTATTTTGTACTTACTGAAAAACAGATGGTTGGATGGAAAAAATCTCTCTGTTTTTGTTTTGCCTTATAAAACATTGAATTAAAATACATGTTATGTAATTTGCCTAATAATGTAGATTTCTTTTTAATTTTCTGTTTTTAAAATAAAGATGTTCCTGCTTGTTTTTCGTTTTACTTATGTGTATTATTCATAGTATTATTATGTGGCGAAAAAAAGTATTTTGTATCACATTTTTAGGTGTTTGTACCTTTAAGAACTAGTAAGTACTTACACAACTACAATACCCAGCATTCCTGACTCGCGCGTGACGTCAGAACTGATTGAATCACTGGCGGGACAAAAAAAAAATTCCAGCAGAGCAAACGAGTCCGACTCTTCAGCAGCGTTATACAATTTAAAGGGGTCAAATTACTGTATAAACTTACAATAGTTACATCGAGTTTGGAGTTGGTTTACATACTTTACAGGTGAGTTAAACATGCGATACAGACAGTAGGATAGTTACCATGCTAAGCTAGCGCACTGATTTCTGCTTACACAAACTTCTGGAAATGGGCAGATGTAACTTAGTGATTAACGTTATGCCTAACGGTTATAACTTAGTTTTTTTTTCGAACGAATTAAGTTACTGTTTATATACGATTAAAAACGATTCTTGGGTTATCGCAAAATATACAGGCATATGTCGTCTTCGAAATACAGTTCGAAAGAAGTCTTAAGTTAATTAAATTAAACATGATACGTTACATTCTTTTTTTTAACATGATGACATTCTGTCCTACACGTCTAGAGTTTGCAAAAACTGACTCTCGTTTCATCAGTTAGAAGTTTAGGTTCGTTTTAGGTCATTGTATTAAATATTAGGCTATAACTTAGGTCAAAAAAAAAAAAAAAAAAACCCAAATATTTTTTCTCTTGGCACGCAATCTCATCTCAACTCTTTATTATTGTAATTTTATCTGAATTTACAACATTCGTGTGATTTAGTCAGTCAAAATAGTTTTTAGGTTAATTGATCTAATTTTGTGCCTGTGGAAAATGGTGATCTGTGACATTATGTTGTTGAATATCAAAGTTTGTGTGTGTGTGTGTGAGAATTTGTCAATGAAGGATTGTAAAGATAACTGGCACAGAAGGCCCCAAGTGGCATGTTGTTAATACTATTATGTAATTATTTTTTAAATGTATTACTTATTGTAAATCATTGGGTTGTTATTGAAAATTTCCATGAGTTAGATGTACATTTCATACATCATTGCTATTCATTAAATCCTATAGGCTAATTGAGTGAAACCTTTCAATTAGAATTCACAATTCATTATATTATATTATATTATTTTATAAAATATGGGCAATTAAATATTTATATATTCATATACCTGTAAGTTATAGAAAATAATTACCTTTTAGATGAATCTTTTTAACTCTGTCAATTAAATTGCCAAAACACAATTTTAAATAGAATAGTTAATGCAGTATTTTATGTTAATGATATCAAAAGTCATGTATAAGTGGGCTTCAGCTTCTCCCCAGTGTTATTTTTAATATAATTTATAGTTTTTCTTAATATTTTTTTAATTCAGTTTTTATTTTATTTTCCGTTTTAACTTGAATATTTTTGTAATTCTGGTGTGTTTTTGTCATTTTTATTAGTTTTTTTTATTAAATCTATTTCAGTTTGAGTTATTGTAGTACATTTGTTAAACTAAATTAAAGAGAAATGTTGCTTTGGCAACTTGCTGAAATAAAATGAGTTTAACTTTTATATATTTTCTTTTTAGTTCAAATTTATTTGATTTCAGTTAACAACAAATTCAGTTTTTTTTTTAAAGTTTTAGTTTTAATAACCCTGCTAAAATAGAAAAAAGTTTTTATTTATTTCTCCTCATTAACACATTAACTGCTGTATCATCATCCAACCTGCACATGCTAAACTAAATCTGTTTCTAAATCTGTTACAATTTTAAAGTAAATGCACGTTGTTCTTAAGCTGGGCATTTTACTCTACTGCACGAAGTGTCTATTTTGCACGATACGATATTATTGCGATACTCCAAGACATTTGGTAAAAGGTAAACAAAAAAAGTACTGTTACTGTTGTAAATTAATAGGCTCATTATTTTAGACGAATATGCTTAATGCACTCTGTCACTGACTAGATATATTTAATATAATGTAGGCCACTTTTTACTGGTAACACTAAACTGACACTAAAACTCTGTAAACTTGAATTTTTTCTCACACAGTAATTTTTATTTTGGGTGAATTAATCACAATACATATTGTCATTATCCACGATACATATTGTTGCATTTTTGTATTGCGATATATTGTGACACGATATATTGTTACACCCCTAATATTTGCACTCTAAACTCAAACTCGCTGTTGTTTTGCAGAGTGTGAAATGGTGGCCAAAGGACAGAAGCGTAAGCTCCTCCACCGGGAGGGCGAGGGAAGAGGAGGAGCGTGGGAGAGTCAGCTGCAGTCTGTGCTGGACATCTCCATGGAGAAGTTCCACCGTGACCAGGCCCTCGTGGAGCCCAGCTTGTTACGCTCGGTTCTGATCAACAACACACTGCGGCAGGTTCAGTCCGAGGTCCGGGCGCAGGTAGAATCTCTGTCCGCTGTAAAAATCCCTACTAGATCACAAACTCACTCCGGGTTGGAGCCCGATTTCCCCAGTGGGTCCCCTTCGACAGAGCATAACGCGCCTCTGTTCTCGCTGAATGATGAAAATATGCAGGAGGAGGAAGTCATGGCCTGGACTTCAGAGGAGGATTTCTCTTTATCTTCAGCCATCTCTGTTATTCTCAAAGATCTAGATACAGTCATAGATGGCGGTCAAGGGCCTTCAAGGGCTCCGCTCGGCTCCGTAGAGAATCTAACAGGAGATGCCAGGCTCGCGCAGTGTCCTCTGTCGAGTTCGAGGACTGAAAGAACGTCCATCAAATCAGAGGCGGCGTGTCTAGGTTGTCCTCAGGATGTAGCTTTAGATAAACTTCTCCTGGACATCGACACGTCTGTGTTTGAACCGGAGGTGAATCTTCTGCAAGGTTTCTCCGTCACGGCCGACGATCTAGTGAAGTATCTACCATCCCTGTCCAAATCTCCATCGGCATCCTCTTCCTCATCTTTAGACTCTCATGGTCAGGCCACATGGGAAATCCAGGAGATCGAGCATGTTATGGACATCCTAATGCGGACGTACCCGCAAAGCTGATTATGATATCATGTTTCTGATATTGAAGTGATAGCTGGAGTTATTTGATAAAAACAGTTTTTTAGAGGTGTACTGAAGACATTTCCATTGAATAAGACTGTTCTCTACCGGATTATGATTCGCTACCTCATGTTTTGTCGTGCAAAGTAGTCGATCTCAATGTCAGCTGATGGTTAATAGCAGTCATTAGTCCTCTTGATGAACTATAGATATGCACATCTCTAGTTCTGTTGCGAGAAATGAAAAGATTCATTCCTGAACGTGTCAATTAACAAAGTGCAGAAAAACTCCAGATGACTTTTAAACCGTTGTTTTGAAGTCCTTACAAATGTCTCTCTCTATATATATTTTTTACTTTTAGAAATGATATTGTTCTCAAAGAGATGCACTTTCCATTAAGTCAAATCCCTAAATTTTAGAATGGATGCTTTGATATGTCGTTCTGTCCTGAAGATTGGATTTAGATGGACTAAGGTCATTAAAATATGAGATTGTGTGGATTTTTACTTTAAAGATATATGTATTATTATTATTATATGCAGTAATTGTCTTACATGAGCATTATGAATATACTGGTGCTGTTTCAGCCGGCAAAACATGTAGTTGCCTATGCAAAATATTTACTATTGACAGTATGAAATTATAATGTTATCTCTCTTTGTATTCTATTGTTATAGGTCAAATAAAGTGATACTTGGTGACATCAGGTGGCTAAATGAGGAAGTATGTTTATGAAAGTGAATCACAAGAGTGAAATGACCTTTTGAACCAAATGCCATGCAGATGACTTAATATTTTAATGAGAATTATGATTTCATGTATGAAAGGCGATTAGACAAACTTGCTTAAGAAATTACAAAACAAGACATCCCATTTTCAAGTCTACAGGAAAAGGATTAGCCTGTAGAGTCTGTATGAAATATATTAGTGGTGGAAAAATTACACTTTTAAAAACAATCTTGAATATACATTTTTGATAAAGAAAAACTATTGCTTTATTTCATATATAACTATTAGAATTGCTATTATTAGTCTTAAGCAAAAACATGAACAAGAACTACATGTGTGACAGGAAGGAAACTTGTTTATTCTGTTTATAGGAGAGATAAGGATTTTTTTAGATTGAGTAAACGTATCTACCAACTGTCATGTTTATTACAGCTGCTTTCCAAACCTAGGGGTTGGACAATAAAACTCAAACTCATGGTTTCAGACCACAGTCATTTATTAGGGCCTCTTTTAGCGGCCAATACAGAATCAGTTCATCTTGGGAATGACAGATATAAGTCCTTCACAGTGGCTAGAAGGATTTTGAGCCATTCCTCTTCCAGAACGGTGATACTAAATGATGCTGGTGGAGGAAAACACTTGCTGACTCACTCCTCCAAAATATCCTAAAGGGGCTCGATAATATTCAGATCTGGTGACTGTGAAGGCCATGGGAGATGTGCAACTTCACTTTCATGTTCATTAAACCATTCTGTCACAAGTCACGCTGTGTTTATTGGTGCATTATTCCTTCAGGGTATAATGTTGGAACCATTTTTTGCACTGTAAAAAAATACGGTACAATGTACAATATAAATTTGAAGGATTTTTCCATATTTGTCTTTTACAGGTCTTTTACCCGTATTTTGAATTACACGTTGCATTGTGGGAACAATATATATACACTCACCTAAAGGATTATTAGGAACACCTGTTCAATTTCTCATTAATGCTAGGGTTCTACTAATTATAGGGTTTACAAAGAATGGTGTGAAAAGGGAAAAACATCCAGTATGCGGCAGTCATGTAGGCGAAAATGCCTTGTTGATTGATGCTAGAGGTCAGAGGAGAATGGGCCGACTGATTCAAGCTGATAGAAGAGCAACTTTGACTGAAATAACCACTTGTTACAACCGAGGTATGCAGCAAAGCATTTGTGAAGCCACAACACGCACAACCTTGAGGCGGATGGGCTACAACAGCAGAAGACCCCACCGGAAACCACTCATCTCCACTACAAATAGGAAAAAGAGGCTACAATTAGCAAGAGCTCACCAAAATTGGACAGTTGAAGACTGGAAAAATGTTGCCTGGTCTGATGAGTCTCGATTTCTGTTGAGACATTCAGATGGTAGAGTCAGAATTTGGCGTAAACAGAATGAGAACATGGATGCATCATGCCTTGTTACCACTGTGCAGGCTGGTGGTGGTGGTGTAATGGTGTGGGGGATGTTTTCTTGGCACACTTTAGGCCCCTTAGTGCCAATTGGGCATCGTTTAAATGCCACGGCCTACCTGAGCATTGTTTCTGACCATGTCCATCCCTTTATGGCCACCATGTACCCATCCTCTGATGGCTACTTCCAGCAGGATAATGCACCATGTCACAAAGCTCGAATCATTTCAAATTGGTTTCTTGAACATGACAATGAGTTCACTGTACTAAAATGGCCCCCACAGTCACCAGATCTCAACCCAATAGAGCATCTTTGGGATGTGGTGGAACCTTCGTGCCCTGGATGTGCATCCCACAAATCTCCATCAACTGCAAGATGCTATCCTATCAATATGGGCCAACATTTCTAAAGAATGCTTTCAGCACCTTGTTGAATCAATGCCACGTAGAATTAAGGCAGTTCTGAAGGCAAAGGGGGTCAAACACAGTATTAGTATGGTGTTCCTAATAATCCTTTAGGTGAGTGTATATAATATTTATATATATAAATAAATCTTTACCCATTGAATGCATTTAAGAATGTTTACATGAAAATTTTTACAAAAATAAACCATGTTCAATTTGAATATATCGTTCTTTAATTATTTGCTACCAAAGCTGTATTATGAAGGATTATCCGTGAATAGTACAGAAAATGTACCGTTAATATACAGAATTTTCCGTTTTAGAGTTGAAGGAACTGTCCGTCATTTAAAGGTAAATGTCCTGGTAATTTTCTGCCAGTACATTATCCGTTTTTTTACGGAATAATTTTTTACCGTGTGTACATGGTCCTCCAGAATGGTTTGGTAGTCCTTGGCACTGTGACGTGTCCATAGAATACCATGATTTTGCAGCTCAAACCATCACTGATCCACCCTGTGCGTCACTCTGGGCACGCAACAGAGTTTTAAGTTTCTTTGGGGTTTCTCCACACCGTGACCAAAAGACAGTGAAGGTGGACTCATCAGAGAGCAATACATTTTTCACATTGTCCACAGCCCAAGATTTGCACTGTTGGCATTGGCATGAGTGACCAATTGTTTGGTTATACTAAGCAACCTGACCATGAATATAGACTCTGTGGAGCTCCCGACGAACAGTTTTGGTGGAAACAGTGTTGAGTTGGGCAGCTGTGTGTGTTTTTTGGATACAATCCGGGTTAGTCTCTGGACATCCCTTTCAGACTGCTTCCTCTTGCATTGATAGTTACTCCTGTTGGACATTATCCTAGATACCATAGCTCTCAATACACCACAAAGACTAGTCACAGATGACAAAAACAATGCGTCTCCCATCATGTTGTGTGGATTGCAATAGTTGTGTACAGTTGTGCTATTGCAACCTTCACACTCAAACGCACATATATTGGTGTGAAACCTCCAACACTATATTGTCCAGCCCCTGTATTTAAAGTGTTTAAGAAATAATACAGGATGTGTGAAGTGAAACCTTCCTGTAACTCCACAGCTACACAGACTCATGATAAATTTCATCACACAGTCACAAAGTACAAAGTTTTTATTTTTTTTCTGTGCATGCATTTCTTAAAACACCGTTTGTTCTGACATGAATATCAGGCACCTTTTTTGTTCCCTACCATCCAACATTTACTATACAATGATACAAAGAATAATCAATGAATGTACAATACTACAATAAAGACAAAAAGACAGCATAACAGTCATTGGCTGTCAATTATAAAGTGTAAAAAGCCAGTTATAAAGTGCATCTGAAGTTCTACACATCTCAGGACATCAAAAACCACCATCAACTAGCTCTGAAAACAATGATTCATTTCATACTCCTCGATGAACAATGCAATACTGGACGGGATTGTCTTCCTGTTTCTTTTGTCCAGACTGAGAGGTCTTGGTCAAAAAAAAAAAAAAAAAAAAAGAACAAAAAAAGTTATTTAATAGTCTGGAAATATATCTGAATATGAAAATAGCAAACAGTTACAAATCCTACACAAAACAACGCTAGAGAACATTCACACGTAGGACACAATTTCCTAAAAGAATGGCAACATTACTAAAGTCTTGAAGATCAAATTTGAAAACTCCAAACAGGGGAAAAAAATCATTTGGTTCATGAAAATGTTACAATCCACTCAGATGCTTCGTTCCAAGATGTTCTGCCCAACAGTGAGGTGTATTGCACTGCACGTGTTCATCCTCGACCGCCTTGACCTCGGAGGTGCTGCCGCGGCGAGCTGCTGCTAAAGACGATTTACAAGTGCAGGACACTGCGGAAAGAAGTGATCTTATGTGAATGAGGAAAGATCTAGCATTTTATCCATTTATGGAGTTGTAGGACACTTGAGAGCTGGGATCCCGCTGCTTTATTGAGGCCTTCTCAGCCTCGGGCGATTCGTCACCAGGCTCGCGATCGATTATCGGCTCTTTATCCTCATCTTCCTCCTCGCAACTTGGCAGCTGGAAGAAAGCGGTCCACCCGTACACATCTGCAAGCTTGTGGAATGTGCGAAGGACCAGGAACATGACCATCAAGCCCACAAACAGGTACACTGGAAGAGAAAAGAACGACAACTCATGTAACCAAACAACTTTAGATAACCATTTCAAGTACTTACAAGGGAAGCTGAAATATTTCAGAGCTTTGAAGAAAGGAAAAATTATTTATATTTATAATATTAAATGCCAGCCCACTGGCACTTGGTATGATATATATAAGTTTCCAATGGCACTAATAACATTGACAAGCACATGGATAAAATATTAGGGGTAAAAGGTCAATTTCACAATTGCATCTAAGTTTCCTCGGATAGATTATATTATATTAGCAAGTTTGTGGAATGTACGAAGGACCAAAAACAGATGCGCTGTAAGAGAAAAGAAAGAATTTTAGCAATCTGTAGGCAAAAACTTATAGTAAATTGTTACAATATTGTTTAAGACCTTTGCCGAAGATTGAAACACACACACACACAGTAAATGTATGAGATCACATTCTAAATACAGGCATTTATGTGAAGTTTGCCACTATAACAGCTTTCCACAAGATTTTGGAGTGTTCCTGTGGGACTATATGCCCAGTCGTCCAGTAGGGCATTTGTGAGGTCAGGCACTAACCATAAAACCTCAATATTAAATAAGCAAAGCATAAAATTAAATTGTACAGATGAATTAGTATGAATGTATCATATTTAATAATCATTCAGAGGAGACTTGCTTGGATACAAAGGTGAAATTCACTTTTTACACCTAATATTTTTCCTTCTACCTAGCCATTTTTTTTATAGCCATGAGCCGCTTATATGAACCATAAACTAAATGCCTGCAGCCTGGGTTGGACATCGGACATTTGTGGCCCTCATGCTTTCTTTTACAGCACTCGGTTTCAGCCTTAGAAGACACAATATCAGTCCATGGGATTCTGACATTATCGCATAATACTGTGCATCACTTTTATTCTTTTTTGTGTGTTGATTTTCATATAACTATGAATGACATAACCACAAAAGGGATCACTGCATGACTGTAAGTCATAAAAAAAGACCTTAATGACTACAACTCTAACCCTCTAAAGAGATGAAAATTACTGTTCAGGTCATACTGACTGACTCTAGAAGCTAAATATATATGTATTTATTTAAAAAAAAAAAAAAATATATATATATATATATATATAAAAAAAACTAATTCAATAAAAAAAAATATATATATATATGTATTTATTTTAATTTAATTAGTTTTATATATATATATATATATATATATATATTTTTTTTTAAATAAATAAATACACATATATATATATATATATATATATATATATATATATATACACACACACACACTCTATATACATTATATTAATAATAAATTATTTATTAATTTATACTACTTATATATAACTTAAATATAGTACATTTTAAAGTTTATTTTCGATGTTTTGTTAAATGAGGGAACTTTTGCCTTATCTGTTGAAACCTTTAAAGCCCTATCTTGGTTAAAGCCTTTCACACCCCTCACCTGTCTTTGAGCTCAACCAAAAGGTCTCTGAAAGGAAACTCGAGGAGATTCGAGTCTCTTACCCATGACTGATATCTTGTACAAAGCTCTGAGTCTCTGTCCTGGCTTTTCTGCTGGCACAAAGTCCCCCAGTCCTATAGTGCAGAGGGAGATGAAACAAAAGTAGAAGGCGTCCAAGAAAGACCAGGATTCTTCTATGGCGCTGAACACCAGCGCAGGAATCACGAAGAAGCCGAGCACCACCAGGACCATCAGTACGATGAAGTGCACAACACTGGCTGCGCGGGGGTGCAGGCCGGCCCGCTGCTGGCACAGGGAGATCGGCCCGTAGGTCAGGGGGTGCATGAGGCGCTGGACGCAGGCTGTGAGCACCAGCATGGTGAAGGGCACTCCGATCAAAGCATACACGATGGAGAACGCTTTACCCGCATCAGAGAGCGGCGTAGTGTGGCCGTATCCTGGAAGAGAGGCAAACAAGTCAAACAAATCTGTGCAGGGGAATGTTTCCAACTGACACGCCACTTCATGTCAAGGCAAATTTATTTGTATAACGCTTTTCACAATACACAGCTTTACAAAAAGTCATAATAGTATATAATGCCTTAGTGCTTTACCATATAGAGCATGTTTTATGACTGGGCAATATGACAATATAGAACAATGATACGAGTGATTTAGATCTATATTGTAATGTATTTGTCTAGCACACGTCCCAGGCACACGGTTGAGCGTTGAAGGCAATTAAGATATTTACATATTGCCCAGTATTTTTGAGGATAAGTGATGTTAATAAAGTATTAATGAATATGATCGGATGTTGCAGGTTAAAAGGCTGACGTTATTAGGAGATTTTAGATAATGGTCAGTCAGTTTCATTGTCAGAGTAAAGTAACAATTCTCAAAAAGCATCAATGAATAGACAATCAGTTGTCTGGTTGTCAAAGAATCTGATAATAACATTTCCCAAATTAAATTAGCAGTCATTTAAGAGATGATGTAGAAAAATCGAGGGTTTGGCTTTCATTTTAATTAGTAACATCTCTGATTTCAGCCAGAAGAACTTTATTGTGTGATATCATTCCTTATGGTGTTTGAAAATTACTTGTATCATGGTAAGATTTTGCATTTTCATGTGAGATACTCTGACTTGAATCTGAGATAGTTCATCCAAAAAATTAAGATTCTTACATCATTTACTCATGTTCCAAACCTGTATGACTTTTTCTCCAGTGGAACAAAAAAGACGATATACTAGGAAACTGTGTATGTCCATACAAAAGCAACTTTGGTTTGGAACGACACGAGGGTGAGTAATTAGTAAATGATTACAGAATCTTTATTTTTGACTGAAATATCCGTTTTATCTTGCTAATTATCCAACGCATGTGATTTCCTGACTGCATAAAGCTGTTAGTGTAATCTAATACAGAGCAGGGTCAGCTACACAGGTTAACATGCTCGATGAAAGGAAAGCTTTATACAGACAAACAGGTCAAAGGATTGATTTCCCATGATACTCTTTGCAGGACACGAACCGAGAAGCCCAGTTTAAGCAAACAAAGCTTGCACTATACCAAAACTCAAAAGAGTGGTTTGTGGGTTTGACAAAAACAAATATCATGAAATAACCTTAAAATCCCTTTTATGGATAACATGGATAAATTAAATGTGGAATTACTGTCTCTCAGAGTAATACGCAAACAAAAACAAGTTTCTCCCACACACTACAATTTGAATGTTTGGGCACACATTTCCCTTCCATGCAAATGTTTTACTTCCTCTATTAACAGCAGCACTACTGGGTGCAGATGACAGCTAAAGGTAAAACGGATGAAAAACATGTAAGTTAATCTAATTAAACTCCCCTCACAAGTACATGAAACATATTTAAGTTATGTACACACTGCACTCTAAATTTCACACTAACCTAAATTCCATTACCAGTCCAATCACATGCATTAATCTAAACGCAGACCTTCAGTAACATTTAAAACAAACTGAATATGAAAATAATTCTTTTGATAACTGGGAGTTGTCATCACATCAGTATCTTTTAAAAAAAAAAAAATCCTGACATTTTAAGGCATGGATACAATATATCAATTGCATAAACATTCATCACATTTATCTTTTTGAGAAATGGAAATGAGGTTGTGTACCAAGCAAGACTTTCATTCAACATTTGATTTACAATCTGATTCCAGCTTTTGTGTGTGTGTGTGTGTGTGTGTGTGTGTGTGTGTGTGTGTGTGTGTGTGTGTGTGTGTGTGTGTGTGTGTAATATATACATAAATATGGGTTTTATACCTTTTCAATACTAAGATGGAAAAACTGTCTATCTATACATTTACTTTAACTGCTAAAAAAAAAAGCATGCTCCATTTTCATCCTATTAGGTTAGGTCAGGAGGTTTTATTCTGCAGTCTAAACAGTGGTCAGAAATCATGAGATTAATCAATTAAAAAGCTCTAGTCTTTAGGTCAAATTAAAATATGTCTGCATTTATATTTTTGAAAGAGATTCCACACAAAGGGGCCTCAATTGCCAACATTTACATCCTGTTAAACATCCTGTTCATCTTGCCATTGGGTAAAAAAAGTTGTTTGTCATAAGTCTGCTACACCTTTAGGCTATATACAGTAGGCAATAGGAAAACACTACATAATAGGAATGACTCTGATGAACTCGTCTCTTAATAAAAACGCTATTCCACTCTGTTGTTTACACAGTTACAGTAGACTCTAATTAGTATGTTCAGTTCTGGCGAACTTTGGAACGTTGTTTTGCAGAAGTTCGAATGTTTGTGGTGTTCTACACAGTATTCTACACTCGCGTCAGATATAAGGGGCTGCTAAACGTATAAATATCCAATATATGATGTATCAAACAAGCGCAACATCAATTAAACTCTGTTCCTGTGAAACTCACCCACTGTCGTGACCATCGTGTTGGCAAAGAACAGAGAAGACGCCAAATCCCAGTTTGAACGGAGCGAGGCATTTTGAAGGATCGACACGCCGTATTTATTCGCTTTTAAAACTCTCTCTAAGAAACCCTCAAGGGCCGTAGCGTTGATGCAGCTCAGGTTGAGGAACTCAGCTTTCAGGGAGTTCAGGTCTGATTTCAGGGTCTCTTCGACGGGCCGCTCGATGGCAGAGAAAACAAGCGCTCCCAATATCAAGTAAGTGATGTACGCTAGGATGAAGCCACTGAGCACAAAGCAAGACCTGAACGCCGTGGACATGGTGGGATTTGCGAGTAACGCGATGAAAGTGATTCTTAATTTGTTGCAGTGATGTGTTCGACTGATTAAACTCCACCCTTTCACAATCCTCCACCCTCTGACAGAAGTTGGCCACGGTGGCCAGGAAATAACTGTACTCACTCACTCAGTCACATGGGGGATGCTTTGAATTTTGTGTGTTTGTAAGGTGCAGCACAAACTTCACACGAGCTCCTTCATTTACACCCAACAGAGAAATCCATTATACACATAGTGTGATTACTATCAAGTGCTCCCAAGTGCCAAGAGTCTTAAAGTCCCCGTAAAGTCAAAATTAAGTATGTGTTCTGAGTTTGTCACACCACAGAAAAATGTGTTATTAGCCACCCAGCCAAATTTGAATGATAAAAAAAGCCGGCAAGTACATAAAATAAGCTATCAAAATCTTGAAAAAATGAGCAGTTTTCTCTGCTCTCAAACGCTGGGGGCGTGTCCGCTGGCTGCGCTGAAACCACGCCCACTCGCGGGAAAGCTGCACTCGACGGGACCCGCTACAGCCGAAATGGATGCTCCTAGCAGCTTATTAGGTTATACCAAGCCATATTTGTTTGAGCCTCCAGAGCCTGAATCCGATTCAGAAGACATTGACCAAGGAAGTCAACATCGTCCCCCTCGCTCTGCAACAGAATGGTAAATTTTTTCTCTCCCTTTTATGCAAGTTAGCTAAGTTATATGTAAGTAAACGTTAACTAGCTTAACCTAACTTAGACAAATAAAGTTAGACTAGCAATAAATAACAGAAAAAAACAACATATTTTTACACCTTATAGTTATAGATCAAACTAAGTTAGACTAGCAATAAACAACTGATTAAAAAATATATTTACACTTTATAGTTATAGATCAAACTAATAGCCATCATGGTTGTTATATTAACGATAAATTGATGTGCATAAATCCATTAGATAAGGGACTGCTTTGTGAACAGATACTAGTTTAAATTACTTGGCTAAGGAATTTTGATCATATAACGTTAAATAAAAATCACGTTAGAGGGTTGCAGAATTTAGTAGTTACAGTGGACTACCTACTATAATTATAACAAGCACACAAGGCAACTTACACTCATTGGTGGGCACGCATTGCCGATGATGGCGCCAGTTGTCGGCGGGACGGGATGGATGAAGGCCGAGGCGAGAGATAGTCGGTGCGGCACCTTTCACCAGTAACAACGGATTATCTGTGAATCCCAGTTGTCTCCGACGAAAGTTTATAAAACTATCACGAGTAAAATGATCACTACAGAGGCGGGTTTGGCTGGTGATCCTCAGCTCTCCATCAAGGTGGCTCTTCACAAAATTAATCCACCTCTTCTTGATGTCGTCGTTTTTAGGAAATTTAAACAAGGACACCGATCTGTTTTGCAAATGATTGCATCCAAGTAGTACGCATTTCCGTGACGAAGGCATGGCTAGATAGCAAACTGTAGGCTGTAGTAACTGATAATAGTACTGACAGTAACTCGCAAATGAGCGCCAAACTGATGCGAATGTGCTCTATTTATATTGTTAGAGGGATCAGTATCAGTGCGTCATCGAGTAGGGGCGTGTCCAAGAGCTCCAGTGCGTCATCGAGCCCTGTTTTAGACCCGCCCAAAAAATCCGTGAAATTGCCAGGGTGAAAAACTGTTTAACGGTCTAACTCCACAATTCAGTACTTCACAGTTCACAGTCTTTGTAATATGTTTTAGCAATACATTTCTAACCTTTAGAATGTGTTTAGAATGTTTTGTTAAAATTGCCTTTACAGGGACTTTAAAGGTGTACTCAGTACTTTAAAAAAGTATTACACCTACAGAAATGAATAGTATTTCTTATTAAAATGATGAAATACATGAGATGAAGTCTTCAGTCATTTCAGTCTTCTAGGAAAAAGCTGTTTTGTTCTACATGGTCTCTCCTTCTTGGGCTCCACCATGTTTTAGATCACTGACTTTTTTCCTCTCTTGCAATTGCGTTTATATCTTACAACTCTACATTTTTTTCTCGCAATTCTGACTTTTTTCCTTGTGATTGTGACTTTATTTCTCAGAATTGCTACTTTATATATCGCAATTCTGACTTTTTTCTTGGTTATTCCTCGCAATCCTGACTTTATATCTAGCAATTGTAAGAAAAAAAAAAGTCAGAATTGTGAGATAAGAAGTCGCAATTACTTGTTCTTTGCTTTATTCAGTGTGGCGGAAACAAGCTTCCAAACTAAAATCCAATTATGAGGAAAAAAAGAATTACAATTAGGCCTACCTTTTTTTATTCTGAACAAGCTTCTATAGATTTTGGGGTTCAGACTAGTGGAAAGAAAACATCCAAAATACAATTTTAAGTGTATGTTTTATAGCACTTTATCTATTATCTAACTGACTTTCTCTTATTCTGAGTCAGAAATCTCCACTTCAGCAGCACTACATACACCAGCATTTACAGTATTATTCCTACCTATATTCTGAAAGTTTTTACAGAGGGGTTTGTTCATTTATAATTTGCCTGATTTTATACTTTTTTTTTTTTTTTTAATTCTGGCTGTTGACAGTATTTTCTGATTTATGAAGTGACAAAAAGAGATATCCAAAATCCTATAAAAACCTTGAAAAATGAAACAAGAATTTACCCAATGTTCAGAGTTGTGTTCTAGAAATGTATGCAAATTGGTGGATATTTACTTAGATAATGCCTCATTTGCATATTTAAACATTTCAGAAAACTTGTAATACAAAAAAATACAAAAACGTTTGCAATTCTTAATGTAATCAGTCAACTGGGGAAGTAAGGTGATATCTATTACCCTTTTACCCTATTCACCCGGGGTGTCTTGCCTTAAGAAGACATTGGTTATAGGCTGTAAAAGTTTATTCATAAGTTACTGATGCAGGGGTTTGGATTAATTTGCATAGGGTGGGTGTATTACAGCAATATGGGACATTTTTTGCACTGTGACTGCGACTGTCACAACAACACTTAGTTCAGACCAATAAATGAGACCTCAATCGCATGACGACACAGCTTTCTTGTCAACATATTGTGTCCCAAATTATCCTAAGTTTTCTTTTGAAATGGAAAATAACACAGAAAGAAAAACAAACTCGTGATGAAGTCTAGTGAGGGAGAGTCACATGTCACTGAGGGGATAGAAATAGCTGCAGTCTCAGTCAAAACAGTTTAGTGCCTTTCGGTTCATATCCACACTTAAGTAAACAGACCTCATAAACTCATGATGAGGACAGCAGTGTGAACAGTTGGAGACTATTATCCTGGTAAACAAGCAGCCAAGTCACTCTGATTAGTCAAAGTTAACCAATTAATTTCCAAAGTTTCCTCTTGTTACATCTCTGTCCAAAGGAGATGTCCTCAAGTGTTTTGATGGCATAACTGAAACTAAATAATATGTGCAGATAATCAAAATGAAAAGGTGGGCAACTTACGAAACATTGCATGGTTGAACCCTCAGTTATCCGCTTCATTCAGTCATTAAAGGTGTTTTAATTACATCAATCAACAAACAAGCTTACAGGTTCAATTTAAAATGTTAACATTCATTTTAAAACACTTCTGAAAATATGGTCTCTATTCTTCAGGAGTTAAAAATGGTACACTACAGTGTCATATTTAGTACTTCAATCACAGGGAGAAAAGACATGGAAACAAGAAAATGGATTTCTCTGTGAGGTGGTGTATGAAAATACATTTTGTGGAAATTTGCTAGCTTTTGACAATTTTCAGGTGAAGGAGAGCTTTTTGGGGGCAGAGAGTAATTGTAATATTCTCTCTCCCCCCATCAAAATATATATATTTTTTGTTTATTTAATTTTTTTCATTTCTTTTTGCCGACATGAAAGGCCATATATGAATCTACAGGTTCGCCATGGCTCCAGCTAAATAATCTTATTCTAGCAAATGTAATCCATAGATTGAAAGCAATACAAAAACAGCATACTGTAATATTTGATAAAAATAGGTCCAATAATCAGACTCAATGCTGCACAAGTCTCCTTACACCTGAACTAAACAATCAGACAAAGGTTTTTGTTTTTTTTACTTGACATTTGAGTATATTTGTCCTAATTGAACCCTAATATGCTGACATACTGAAAAACATATATTTGGTTGAACGCAAGTCTTGTGTTTCTGGATACACAGCTGAATGAGAAACAGAATCTACCAGACACTGAGTGAGAACAGACATTGAAAGAAGAAATACATTTTAAATAAACATAGAATAGAAGTCAATCCAGGGAAATTCAGTTTTTCAACACGTATTATTCCTCTCCGCTGAATTTCCTTTTTCCAAGGAAGCATGGGTCAAAGATGTTTCAGCAGATATAGAGACTAAGTCTTGATATTTCTGTTGAAGTCATATGACAGTCTTCTCTTAGCATTTGCAGCTAACTGCTGGTTGGATGTTGGGAGATTTGGAGAAAACCTGGAACTGGTCTTCAGTCGAACTGTCACACATTCCTGAGGTAGAAAAGGATGATTATGTGGTTATAATATTGAAAACATACAAATATTTATATTAAATATACTATACTATACTGCAAATACATACAACTGCAATACCAAGCCCTATTTATGGTAAATATAATATTTTGTACTTTAAATAACACTACAAGGGATTGATGTGGCAAACGCTCAAAAGGGTTTTTTGCAATATATTATGATTACAGTGTTTTTATCATTCATTGCAACAAACTCACAGAGCTGGGACGCTCCAAACGCAGTGACTGAAGGAGAAGTTTACAGGACACAGACTCCGCCCTCTTATATTTCACACCAATCATCCGGTCCAGATCCTGGAGGCCATCAAGGAAGCTCTGTTCCCTTTGGGCCAAAGCAAAATGATTAACACAGAGTTTAATGCGTGTAACAAGAAAAACAAATACCATTATTATACGTGAAATTATCAAAGAAAGATTTGTTTTTACATTTTCAGTCATCTCAAGAGGATGAAATACAGAATTTCATGCAAAACAGTCAGGCCTTTGTTTTTTATCTGATGCAATGCACTAGTATCTTATATTACCACAAGGTGGCAATAGATGATTATTATATGTGTCAGGGGGTTTTCAAACTGTTCCCGGAGCCTCCCTTAGCACTGCACATTTTTGATGTTTTTCTTACCAGCTGATGAGCTGAAAAATCCCTAATAGTATTATAACTTTATAAATAATAAGCGCAGCCCAACTACAAATAATGCAACATACTTGTGCTCCCCTATATTGCTGTTTTCAGCTGGTCCTTGCAGAAGCTGCTTTAGTGTAGGAATGTATTCAGGATCTTCACAGGGAGACTCGTCAGAGGGAAAGGCCTCTAGAAAGACATTTGACTACACACACAAACAGTGAGGATCATTAGTCATCAAAGCATCAACAGTGATGAGTTTTAACTAACATTCATAGGCTTACAACAACATTCTCGAGTTTAAAGATATATTAGTATGATACTTAAATCATAAAACAAGCCTTTAATTCATGTTTGTAGAGGATGAGAAATAGTATGTCATTGTATCATGGCTCGTTGGAATATTTCTGACAAAATCATTATGTATAAAGACCGCTAAACTGTACAATTTCTTTCATATATCACATGGTTATAATAATATAATAAAAAAAAGTAATTTCACATTTATTTATTTGTTATGTAGTCTAATAAGTGGGATAATGAACATTCATTAGGTCAGGATGTTTGGGACCCCAACACAAAGGGGTTGATGCAGTCGTGACGTCAAAACTCATAATTCACCAGTGGTTCCCTCGACATTTTACTATAGGGTTCTTCAATTTATGTGTACAATGAGGTCTGTGATAAACATAACTTGATGATAGAACGCTTTGCTCTACAATGTAAACTGCGCACACCCCAAACGTTCTTATCTAGTTACTTATTAGAAACATGTTTTTTAAAATACAAATAACAGCTTCAGAAATCGTGTTTTCGATATGGATGTGTGTAATTTAGAGTTGTAGAGTAAAACGTTCAAGTGTCGAAGAGCAACTTTGACTAAAATAACCACTCGTTACAACCGAGGTATGCAGCAAAGCATTAGTGAAGCCACAACACGCACAACCTTGAGGCGGATGGGCTACAACAGCAGAAGACCCCACCGGGTACCACTCATCTCCACTACAAATAGGAAAAAGAGACTACAATTTGCAAGAGCTCACCAAAATTGGACAGTTGAAGACTGGAAAAATGTTGCCTGGTCTGATGAGTCTCGATTTCTGTTGAGACATTCAGATGGTAGAGTCAGAATTTGGCGTAAACAGAATGAGAACATGGATCCATCATGCCTTGTTACCACTGTGCAGGCTGGTGGTGGTGGTGTAATGGTGTGGTTATTTTACCCAAATGAAAAACCCCAATATAAACCACTGGTGAATCAGTCTTCCTGGTTCTGACATCATCCCTGCACCGCTACATACTTATGCTGCCTTCACGTGCTATGGGAATTATCGTAAATATGGATTTCCTAGTTAAAAAGTGGACATGAACACCCTCTCAAGTCATATTTACCACTGGGAACCTCATGGATCATTTTGATACCCAAGTTCACAAGTTGGGTGAGGCATAACCTTTAAGTTATAGTTAAAGTGCCTTAAAACGCGCAGCATTATTCAATGTGTTGACGTAATTACCACAGAAACTGAAGACAGTCCGGGACATATCGAACAGCTCCTCCATTTTTTTTTTAAATAGCCAGTAGCGTTTAATTTATATCACAGCTCGGCCAGAGCCGTTGAGCTCGGTAAAGTTTCCTCCTAATCTTGAACCGTTCCTCCTCCTAATCTCCTCTTTAAAATGTAGCATTCTGTGCAGAATTCAAATGGGTCCGATACATTTTCTGGTCTATTATTGAATATTAAATGTCCCCAACTAAGCAAGCCAAAAGCCAATGTAGTGCACTATGTGCCATTCACCATGTAGAAAATAGTGAATGTGACTGATTTTAGCCGCAGCTTCAAGCATCTGTTTATAATGTAGGGGGCGGAGCTACAGATTCTAGAGAGCATTTGATTGGACAGAAAATCTGATGAGAAGCTGAAGTGCAGCGTGATGTCATCATCCATTTTGGTGGAAGTGAGAGACTGTAAGTTTTTAACGCTTTTATCTTCTAAATGCGAATTTTGACGTTATTTGGAGCACACTAGCTTATAGATAACAGTAGGGCTAATGTATTCATGGGGGCATTTTGATTTCATGGGGACTTGAACTGTGGACTTCATGCTGTGACTGTTATTCTTCATTAGTGATTTCCACAACAGCTACATTGCCTTGTCTTGTCTTTAAGTAGTGCATATTTACATATAATCATTTAAAGCATATGTATGTTTTATACACAGTGAAATAGCCTGTATTTGAGCGAAATTCCAGAATTGTCAGCAAGCTGACGATGTAGATAGTGCGGTGAATTTTTATATGGTTGCCAATGAATGGGACGCTAAATATCATTCCTGCTCTAATAAAATATTCCCAATGAACAGGTAAGAATAAACCTGGTGTCCTCCATGATTCCAGTTCTTTCCGACAACAAAGCACTTGAATGCGACGAGCTCATAATCTTCAAAAGTGGGAAGTAGGAAATTTCTGATTACATGTGAGGGCAGCATTAGTCACTAATTTTTAATCTGAAAACAGAATTATTATAACTCTTTACCACATAAATATAAATATAAATCTTTACCACATAATAGAGAGGAGAGAGGGAAAGGTTTGGCTTTTCGGTTGAAGGCCACCACTGGCCACCAGGCACTGTCTTCTGCTCCACAGTCTCCTGGCTGAAGGCAATCCATGTGCTCTCTGACTGCTGGAATGACTGGTCTGCCGTCCAATCAGATGCCCAGGATGCAGGTTCATTTGCATTAGTGGAACTTGCGCATCCCTCTGAGAGGAGATAAGGGTTCATGTAAGTCTTTAAAGGGGTCATATAATGGTACATGCACTTTTTCAAGTTGATTGTACTGAAATGTGTGTTGGCAGTGCCTGTACACAACCATCATATAATGATAAAAATCCATCCAGTGTTTTTGTTTTAATCTCATTAAATGTTTTCCCCTGCCTCAAATCGAGCCGTTCGACCGTGTGACGTCACACGGTCGGACGCCCCTCCCGCGATTGTTGATTGACAGGCGCCTTTCAACACAGGCCCGCCCTCGCTCTTGAGAGCTGTCAATCATAGTCTGCGCGGACCGGCGCGGTCATTGTTGATATGCTGCTGGAGCACTGTCTATGAGCAGAATGGCGTCTAAGCGATTGTGGTGTTCTGTTCTTGGGTGTAATAACGAACACAGCAGTCATTTTAATGTTCCTAAATCCGAACCGCTGAAGACGCAGTGGCTGAGTTTTGTTTTCGAAGGGAATATTCCCCACGAGCAACGTCAATGCTCTCATGTTTGCGCGAATCATTTCACACACCAGACTGCTTTATAAACGAGGGTCAGTATAAACCTGGTTTTGCTAAGCAGCTGCTCCTGAATAAAGGATCAGTATCAGATATTCGTGTTCCTGCTGAACCTCTAGAACAACTGAAGTGAGTGTAACGTTTTATTAAACTTTATATTAATATTTATATCTTTCCAAATCGCTTCACGATGAATGAGTCTAAGGTTTACACTCACGGTACATTACTGCATGTTTTCTATGTACGACGTTCTCCATATAATTCATAATCCCACGTTTATAATGAACAACGCGTTATGGTTATTGTGTCACAAACGGTGTACACAGAACAGAGAGGCGGGGTGAGCAAAGCTCATGATCATTTAAAGTCATATGCACTGAAACGGCGTGCTGAAAACAGAGCTGTTTTTGACCAGGTAAAATAAGTGTTTTCTTACAATACTAATAAGAATTTTTAATTAAAGTATATTACAAACTTTTAATTTAGACCCTAAAGAATCATATTAGCTTGTACAAAAATGGCATTATATGACCCCTTTAAAGTTTCCTTTTCTTGGATCTCATATAAAAACATAACAAGACCAGTAGGAGTTATGTTAATGCAAAGAGCTTCAGCTAACTGCGGTGGAAAGGTTTCACAATCTCTAGCATCATGGACATGTGCAATAACTGACAGGACGTGAAAGTGTTTAACCATACTTCAGTTCTCTGTTTTTTATACACTCTGTGAACAAAGTGTATAATTAGTTATTTTTAGACCATTGTTGAAAGGTACAACAAAGGCTAATTTGGGAAAATGTGCCTCTAGTACCAACATACAGTGAAACAACATATTTTAATAAATTTCACACAAATTATGATTACAGGGGCAGATCATTGATTAATAAAGACTTTTCACACAGTTCTAGCATGTTATGAACTCAACACACTTTGACCATAGAGAGCATGATTTGTAAACTAATACATTGTGAAGTTTGCATCACATAACTGGCTCCATATGTTTGGCTTTTCTGACATAGTAAACTTTCTTGGTTGCTCACATGGCATTGCACTTGAGCGTTCGGGTATGAGTCCAGATAAGAGCTCAAAAACTTCTATAAGCAATCTAGATGACATGGTTGCTTCGGAAACTCTGTTTTTATCTAACGCTTGCTTGTGTTAACACTATAGGTTAGGTTAAAGGTTTAGGGTTTAATGCTGGTGGTTTTTGAAATGGTACTGTAGATATTAACCTTAAGCATTAACCTTTTAGCGGCACTGACTTGAAAGTATCGCGAAATGTGCAAGTAGTCATATCATTTTGCTAAAATGTCACGGCAGGCACATTATTCCAATCAGCCTGAATTGGAAAGATATGGTAAATGCCTTCCACAAATAACTTATTTGTCATATAAAAGATTTCCTTGCATGACCTAAAAAATAAAAAGTAGGTTAAACCTGTTTATGTTACCTGAATCACCTGGTTTTCACCTTTTTAGAGAGCAGGATTAATCCTGCGGATTATGATTACACAATGGCTGCCAAAAATGAATTTAAGCTCGTAAGATTATTAAGGGGAAAAGTATTTGGTTTTGACCAACAATTATGGGCAGAAGACATAGTATATGAATAAATAATGCTGTGTTTGTCCTCTATTTTGATCAAGCCATTCCCTCTAGACACACTGCCTTTGGCATTATGGAGGTTGGCCTCTCCTCTTGTCCCATTGGCCTTGTGTTTGCATGTCATTTCAATGCTGCCTCCTGCCTTAGGCTGGTACACAGCAACAGGGATGAGGGGGTAGGAATTCCAAGCATTGCTTTAAATAATGAATATCTTCACATGAGGTCGGGGGAACCGAGGGGGTCTGCAGGAATCCAGGTCAATCCAGACAGACTATTTAGTACTGGAACTGCATGTTTATCTGCTCACACAAACCCAAACAAAGCCAGGTTCCTGCTCTAGAAGAGAACTTACTGTACCTTCCGTCTTAAGTGACTTAATGTTTTCATTACCCCGCTACTTTCAAGACAGTTTACTTACCACAGTTGTAATCCTCTCCCGCAGCCAACTGTTGGACGTCACTGAACCCGTCCATCCCACCTGCCTGCATGAAAGCCCCAAACTCATCCTCATCGCCCACATCAAGAGACCCCTCGTCAGTGGCCACCTTGTCCCTGTCGTCAACTCTTGCCAGCTCTGATAGCAACTCTGAGTTCACCAGAGGCAGCGAGTCTCCACCTCTAGCCCCCACCTCCCCATTGCTTAATGCTGGGATGGCTGTTGCTATGGCTGCAATGGTGGTAGGGGCAGGATTAGGCTGGGAGTGAATAGTGGTTAGAGTTATATTGGTTGTTGGTGTGCTAAAGCCTCGTGAAGAGGATTTGTCAGACTGCTGAACTTCAAGTTCCCCATGCTCTGTGATTAATTCCTCCCAATGCTGAGGTGAGCACATGGACGGCCTCCACTTCTTCTGCGTAGTGCTACATTCAACACCCACTGGAGTGCGGCCCTCCGACATGACTGTACTCTTTGTTTCTGGAGGTCCGTCTCTCTGAGTTGTGAGATTGCGATTCTCCACCGAATGTAGATTCTCGCGGTCCATTAGGCGCTCATCTGGCCTGGATTCTTGATTCTTCTCAATGCTGAAAGGGACTTCAGAGGGAGTTTTAATGGGAGAATGATCTATGCTTGGCTCATTATTACAGTTTGTTGTGGTTGATTTTATTTCTAGACGTTCGAAGTTAGTATGAGCAGCCTCAGATGCTACAGGTGATCCTAGGTTTGACACATCAGCAACAAAGTTATGAATGTTCTGGTGATCATTTGATTCAAGGTCACATTTACTAACCTTAGGGTCTCCTTGTGCATCACCATTGGCACAACTGGATCCTTCATCTATTTCAGAACAGTTATCGGATTGATTAATACTCATATCAGCTTCGACCTGCTCACCTGGTTTGGCACATGGTTTGGCAGAAGAGCAGCAGGTTTGTGGGTCCATGCTCTCGGGTGCAACAGTTTTCATCGATACGGGGGAATGAGCCCTTTTGTCTTTGCCCAACTCATTGATATCTTCCTGACTTGGATAGCTAGCACTGGTACCTTTCTGACATTGTGTTATTGTTGTACCTGGTGCTACGTTAAGTGGCTGGGTGTCTGTAATAACTGCATTTTTTTGGTCTCCATGTTCCGGCTCACAGTGCTGATTGGCGATTTCCTTTTTGCCGTGAGCTGTTGTTCTTCTCTCCGCTGAGCCTGTTGTTTTACTGCACTTCCTCCATTTTCTTATGGCCCTGGGCTTGGCCTTGAATAATCCTCCTTCGTCTGTCCCATCCTGGCTCACCCTCTGCCCCCTAGAGGAACATATAAGCTCTTCTTTTGTCCCCTCAAGAATGACAGTGTGAGTCCGTGGACCTGTGACTCTCGCTCCAGCCCCTCGGTTTCCAACAGCACAGATGTAGCTGCCTCGTCCCTGGGCCTTGAGAAAGAGGCAGCGAGTCTGAGTCTGCCTGCCACCCCCCTCGGTGCCTTTCAAAGTGGCCACAGTTACAAGAGCACCAAGACCGCCTTGCCTGACCCCTGAAGTTCTCGCAGCACTATTCGTACTGTCCAATGTGTGCCCATAGCCACTGCTAACCTGACCTGACCAGCTTCTCTGCCCCACCCTGTCTTCAGGAGGCTGTTGGCATGTGCTCTGTGCCCGAGATCCATTAGCAGCCTTTCTCCTGGCTTTAGAGTAGCCACCACTCACAGCCCACGCTCTCAGGCCTTTAATCAGGGGTATGGCTCCAAACTCAAGGGCACTGGTCAATGAGACATTAGTTCTTCGGCATTCATTCAGTAGCTCCCGATGGGCCATTTCCAAGCAGTTATTGTTGTTGTTCTGTTGCAGCATTCTTCTTGGGGCAATAATATCAGATGCTGTGGTGGGTAAGAATGGCATTTAGGATGTCAAAATCTTAAAATGTTTCTGTTACAGCACATCTTTTATTATTCAGCCATGGAATGCAAATGGCATATATCTTTATGTAAGTTTGATATCTGATAATTAAAGGTCAATACAAAAACAAGTACCGGCTCAAATATTAATTTAGTTCATGGCAAATTGTCTTCATATAAAATTTAAAAGTTAATTTATTTACTAGGCTATGCCTTTTTAATTTGAAATTAATTTGCCTTGTGTTCACATCATTTGTTCAGTCCTCACTGTCCGAGTATATATATATATATATATACATATATTAAAATCAATATATAATTTTCTTGCATTCATTATAACTGTAATATGTATTTTAATTATTAATCTGTTATTGTATATACTACAATTGTGTAGTTTATATTTCTATTATAGTTTACTGTGTTTTATAGTTATATACACACTGTAATTGTAGAACATTGCAATATTCTAAATACACATACAATATGTATAATGTTTTTATTTTTATACTTACAACTATTATAAAAGATATTGTCATATCAAACCACGAAAAGATAGTTCTTTCTTCGTTCTGTTTAAATTTTATTATATATTAGTGCAGTCAAATCGATTAAACATGATTAATTGCATCAAACATAAGTTTGTGTTTATATAATATATGTGTATATATATTATATTTATATATGTGTGTGTATGCGAGTGTGTGTGCACACACATACAGTATGTATATATATATATACACATACATACATACACAAATATGTATCAATGTATGCATATATATGTAGGCCTATATAATATGTTGTAATTATAATTGTATTTTATACAGATTGTTTTATTTGATTTATGTTTTTTATCAGTACATTTAATACTTTAATCTTTGTATACTGTTACTGTCGTGTACATTTATCTTATATTTTATTTCGCATGCCCCAAACTATGTCACGATGATCGGAGGACGCTGCGTTACGTAGTCTACACACACACAATACGTGATCGCATCACTTGCACCAAATCGGGAGTCTGTCATTAACTAATACTTGCCCACACAGATGTAACCTCGGGGAGGGGGAATTTTGTACATCGATTCTTTTTGTGGCTTGATATGCTAATATTAATCTTTTAAAATCACAAACAACCAATATTTTGTTTCTTTGTATCATCTTACCTTTACACCGTGCCAGTCATTTCCCTCATGCTGATGCGATGTCACGAATCACACAATTCCAGCTGTAGGTTGTGAAGATGCTGCTGGGCTGAAGGATTTGGGCTTTAACCTTCATGAGGATTTTGGACTGTTTAGAAATGATGATATCCATGTCACCGCGTCGTTTTAAGACAGCATATCCGAATACAGAGCATCGTAGATTTGTAGAGTAAGCTATTAATCCCATGTACGTTTCATGTGCTCCGTTAAAGTGAGCGTCACGCTACACCTCCGTGTCTCCTCATAGCGCAGGCTGCGTTGTGCGTTCACTGGCAAAGCAACGCAGAGCCTCCGCAATCTAGTGCGTGCTACCAGCTGACCAATAGCCGAGCGTGCATAACGTCAGAGCTTTTATGCTAGCGCACGAAGACACGCACACGCGCCAACCCATTTTTCATTATTAGCTTTTTCAGGTAACACTTTAGAATAATGGTCCGTCATTACTGAGTAACTATGCAGGAAGTAATGCAGGACTAATGAGTAGTACAACATTAACACTTCAGCTACTACTATTAACTATATAGAAACAAGCCGAACTAGTAAGTAATATCGAATTTAGGAGATAGTTCCTTATTAGGTAGGCTAATCAATAATTAGCCTACTTAATGACATTAGCCTCATTAATAAATAACCATTAACTAACTGACAAATTAAAGAGCATTAGCGTGTGTCTGAGACGTAATCAGTCATCATTTTTACTCTGAATATAGTCATAAAATGCATCACTAATTACTCAACTGTACAACTGTCACTATACAAATGAAAGATATTTTGAGCTGAATTAAAAGAGTTATGCATGAAATTGTGAGTTATTAAGTTGAAGGAATGTGAGGAATGGCCTACAATTTGGTAACCACCACAGTCATTTTAGAAATAGGCCTATACAAAATAACACAATGTGAAAATAAAGTGGCATTTTGGGAATACGGAAACAACTGTTACCATACAAATTGGATTGGATGTACAACGTGACCGCCATTTAGAATTTTGTCATAATTTTCAATATCTTTTAAACTATTTGACATATCTTCACAATATTTAGTATGGATCTTCACAATATTTAGTATGGATCATCAACACCATGTCCTGAATGTAAATGAGAAGTTTGAACAGAGCGCCACCTAGTGTTCTTATTCATAATTCAATATAATATTTTAATTATTGCATATCAGCGATTTAAAGTAAACATATATAGCGATATAATAAGGAGACAAGGATGGTTGGATTGTATCCTCCCCGTGCGGGCTTGGTTTTCAGATTATGACCTTATGACGCGTGCCGCTCTGTCTCTATGGCAGCGGAGAATGCAAGTGTGTATATGGTGGCGTCGCGTGCAGCATGTGCAGCCACACACTATTGGCTGATCTCAACAACCAATCACATTTCGAAATCGAAATGATATCGTCTTCGCGTCACATAACATTCTAAATTCCTCGTCATGACGTCACAAGCAGAACTTCTGTATAAAAGCAGGTGAAATTCTTCACACTACAAGCGAAAAAGCGACACGATACCATTCATTTCAATGGGGAGCGGGCGATTTCCGGCGATACGCGCGACAGCGACCGTTGGCGACCGACAAAGTTGAGATCTGTTTAACTTTATGCAAATGCAGAGCGACTTTCGGGAGCGACAACGAATAGGAGTGAAGTCAGTGGAGCGCGTCACTCTTCAGTGCTGAGTCTGACCGAGGCAAGTTGAACGAGAAGGTCATTTTAGCAGTCAGAAACTGTCCTATAATTTATGATATTTAATATTATGCATTTTATGTACTGATTCCATTTATATTTAGACTTTTCCTTCCAAAATGTTTGTTTGTAGCGGCAAGAAAACTTATTTGTTGTCTAACTAACATAGAGTAACATCCGTGAATGTCACTCACAAACTAGGCAACCAGTAGTGGGAACGCCCTCCAGTGCAGCCACTGGCGACCTGCAGAGACAAAGTCGCTTGTAAAGTGCCTCTGAGTAGTCACTCTCTTGTGCTCAAGAGAGTTGAGCTGCCTACGAAAGCGATTTCGGACGCATCTCAATTCTCTGACCATGAGTGAGTGCCTACTCAGAGAAGGTTTCACCAGAGTTTGAATTTGAACTTACTTCGCGACCGTTAAAAAAAGTGCATTTTATAGTAGGCTATGAATGTGTGTAGTATAAATGTAATTCGGACGTTCTACATCCATCATGTTTTATACGTCATGTGACCTACCAGCTTCAGGTGCATCGCTTCACTGACATCCGTTAATCCTCTCCCGTGGCCTCATGGATGTAAAGTGTCCATGGAATGTGCTCTTCAGAATCAGAATCTCAGAAAATACTACTCTGTTGGCGTATACTGTTTTTCGCATACTATATAAAGTAGGCCTAGGGAATTATTCGATTTTCGTCTTTTTCCATTACACACTGGGAGTTGAAGAAAGATTTTGAAGATTTAAAGGAAGAAAGCACCCGCACAGTGTCTAATGGCAGTGGTTTTCAGTCCTGGTCCTGGAACACTCAGTTCAGAGCTCATTCTTAAAGGTGAACTAAGTAACTTTTTTACCTTAACCGAACAGCTTTGGAGTCATTGTAATGTTTATATTACTGATTTCGTGTTGAATGGTGGTCGTCTCGCACCCCCCGGTGCCTGTGAGCCGCAAAACCACCCTTGCAACTTTGGGCCGGCGAGCCAAACATTGTTAGGAAGTATCGTGTGATATCAGGTCTCGCGAGGTAACGAATTGCTTTACGGCAAAAAACAGATCTGATAAAATTCTGATAAAATGAGCATCAAACAGAAATAACCCGGCGCAGCTCTTAAAGGGGCCATACCTTATTTCCACTCGTTATAGCGTCCGGCCGTGAGTGCGAGCTATCTCTGCGTGAGTGCTATTCACGACAGTTCAAGTACTCCACAGCGACTCTAGGGGTCGCTGTTTGACAAAAACGGAATTCCTACTTAGTGCTGCTTTAACCAGCTGGGACCAGGATTGAAAACCACTGCCATAATATGGACACCTCCACTCACCACAGTGCCCGATGAAGCACCCGTTCTGAGAGACTGCTTCATATCTGCATGCAGTGAAGAGACCAATAGAAGATCACCAGAAAACCGAGAAGAGTTTGCTCAGAGGGTGATGGAGGGTCTCTGTGTTGTGCTTTTCTCACGGGATAGCTGTTTTGGACGGTGCTGGGTGGTGGTGGGAGGTGTCACTCCACACCATATCTATGGGAATGACCCACGGCGTCAGGTGGTGTGGCGCCCTCACTCCCTCAGCGCCTTTGACCAGGTGAAGCACTCTTACTACAGCGAGACGCTGCTTTATATCTCTCACAGTCTCAGTAGTGAAGATCAATAGTGAAGGCTTCGCTAGGTGGGTGTCGGATGGGGTCCACTTCAGCTTCTCGTGGTTGCCGACGCGAGTCCGGGAGGGAGGCAGGAGGACAAGCCCTTCCCTGGCTGTGGTGAGTTGGACGTGGGACAAAGACCTCTGGGGACCTAATGGGTGGAGCTGAAATTAGTTAGGTTTAGGGTTTGAGTGTGGCTGGACATTGAAGATCCACCCAAAACGTCCAGAGAGTTGGAGCTCCACCCATTGGCTCTGCAGTGAACTCCACTCTGTAGCCCCTTTCACACAGCGCTTTGAACCCGGCAAATTGCCAGAATGCCTTCTGTGTGAACGCAAACACGACCCGGGATTGATGCCGGGATCGATGCCGGGTTGGGGACCTAGTAACATTGCCGTGTTCAGACCCGGAACGCGCGCTGTGTGAACAAAAGCCAGAACCAATGCCGTGTAAGGGGTGTGTCGTAGTGAGGATTCACGAGCCTTTGCAATGACGTAGTTATCGTGCGACTCAGTTACTCTAGAAGAAAGTTTGTGTTCGTCATCGAAACAAGAAAGAACGAAAAAATGTCTGCAAACTGGACTGAAGTAGAGACCCGTCACATCCAGCGTCTTTCCGGAACATACACGGGTTGTGTGTGAACGCGCTCTCTGATTCCGGCAAATCACTGGCAGTGTGAATGAAGCAAAATCAAACGAACCCGGGTCAAATCCCGGGTCACTTTATCCGTGTATTTTCTGGAATCTCTGTGTGAAAGGGGCTTGTGACAGGAGTGAAAAGGTGTGTTTGAGTGGAAGTGGCGCTGCGCAGATCGATCAGTGTGTGACATTAAGGTGCCGTGAGAGCGATTCGAAAGCATTCGGAGCTGTTTGCTCTCTGTTCTCGAGGTACTTTGATGTCACACCGATCGTCTGCGCAGCGCCACTTCAAGCCAGACACATCTAAAGCCTTGTTTATACTTTCGCCTGTTATAATTGATTGATAAATCATTAATGACAATAATTAATAATGACACCACCACAAAAAGTTCCATTAAGATATATTTATCTATTTGTTTTGTTGCTGAATGTAACTATGGCAACGTCTGCCACAACGGCAGCCTGTCGCGTAACATCTATAACACTTCACCGCACCGGCGAGAAGAATTAGGGTAGGCTACACAGATGACGTCGATGTTTATTTTAGTACACCACCAATACAACACTGCTAAAGAATAGTGCAAAACCCAGTAATCCTTGAGGATATTACTTGTGACATTAGATTCAAATATATGGATGTGAGAACATGAATGTTTAACAACTTTATTAACGATCTTTTAAATATTTTATAATTTCAATAAACATTTTCATTTAGTTTCGTGAACATTTTTATTAAACATGGACATTTATGTTCATGAAAAAAGCTTATTATGCTTTTGTAGACTCATTTTGTAAATATAAGCAACTAACTTAGACCATAGACTGTAAAAAAAGATTGATGACGCCCCTTCGCTCTCTTCCATTGGTCAGAAGTGACAATATAGTGATTATGGGCACCACCACCCCCTGTGGAGGAGGCAGCGTCTGATTGGTGCGCTGCTCTCTGGGCAACACCAGCAGGACGCTACTCGCCCCCACAGCGCCACCTGTGTTCATCTAATATTTATATTTTATTTTATTTGAGATTTATTCAATTACCAAAAACGATTTTTAATACCAAAAAACGATTTTTAATACCAAAAAAGATTTTTAAATACCAAAAACGATTTTTAATGGGCGTGATTTGGCGAACAAAATATTAATTTTATTAATATCAACATCATTTTCGACTTTTTTTTTCTTGACAACAAATTTTTAAAGTCCCCCTGTAGTCAATAATTGTATCCCTCAAAACTCATCTTAGATCATCAAAATGACATTTAAACGTTTTTTCCTTGAAAAAAAATTCTTCATGCCTGAAAAAAGCTTGAATGTAAAGCTCATTTAGCTCACTTAGCTCACAACCTGATTGGTTACAAGGTAGTTTGTGACGTCAGAAACACCAGCGATTTCAGTGCAAGTTGCTTTGACCCCAGGACAAGACCCCATGGATATTTGTCGCACTTGAACCATGAATGCAAAAAAAAAAAAAAAAAAATTTGAATGGATATGAGGAGTTTTGTGGTTGAAATTTTAAAAAGTAACAAAACTTTCCCTCGCTGGTCAATTTGACCCCCATAGGAATTATTGTAATGCGAGGAATGCTTTAGTACACATAGAAAAACCTAAAAATGCTCAAAATTCAAACTAAAAATGCTAAAACTTTACCAAAAAATATATTTTGTAATGTCGTGTATATGAATGCAATCTGAAGAGTAACTGACTTTAGGACCCAGCGGAAGAGCTCATTTGCTCCATATAGAGCTATAAGGCCATCTAGTGGCAAGCGTCCTGAAATATTATGTTATAGGCCTATATAATTTTTCCACAAGAGGCCTACAAAGACACACAAATGTAAGATATTTTGAGCTGAATTAAAAGAGTTATGCATGAAATTGTGAGTTATTAAGTTGAAGGAATGTGAGGAATGGCCTACAATTTGGTAGCCACCAAAGTCATTTTAGAAATATACAAAATAACACAATGCGAAAAATAAAGTGGCATTTTGGGAATACGGAAACAACTGTTACCATGCAAATAGACACAATACTAACATGAACTGTTAATTAAAAATAAAAACTGCTCCTGATGAACAGATCTGAACATCATCTGCATGCAAATCCTCCCAGTTTACACATGACATAGCCAACCTATATGCACTAACTACCAGTGATCTGGACCATTATTTTAAAGTGAAAAATATGTTTTTTCACTTTAAAATAAGGGTCCAGATCACTAGTTCCTGCATAGTGTCCTGCATAATTCCTGCTAACGTCTCAGACACACGATAATGCTAACATCTCAGACGTTAATGTTGTGATTAGTAATTAATATAAGTAGCCTAATTCTTTATAATGTGTCATAATTACCTATTAGTTCTTAATGATGCCAATCTCATTAAGTAATTATTGATTACCTATTAACTATCTTAGTCCTAAATTCGATATTACTGATTAGTTAAGCTTCCATATTAATAGTAGTAGCTGAAGTGCTAATGTAGAACTACTCAATAGTCCTGCATTACTTCTTGCATAGTTACTTATTAATGACGGACCATTATTCTAAAGTGTTACCCTTTTTCATTTAGATCTGTCAGTTCTGGTAAGTATATTTTACCTATGTCGTCACCTTCTGAAACCCTCTTGCACTCTCTCTTTTGCTAGACTTCTTTCTTTTAGTCAAATAATCGGTATATTCAACAGAACTCAAAACATAACAAAGACAAATAACGTGGTAACCTATGTGTATACATTAGGCACTTTATGTATTGGAATCATTCAAATGTCCGTTATATATCAGTGTGTTTTGTAGCTACAATACACAACTTTAGTTTTAAAGGGATAGTGCACTCAAAAGTGGAAATTGTCATTTACTCATCTTCATGTTGTTCCAAACCTGTATGACAATGTTCCTCAGTGGAACATAAAAATATAAATTACCTTAATTTTTCACAAGACTTATAGGGCCATAACACAGAAGTCGAATGGGCTATTTTTCATGAGACATTTATGGTGTTTAGTTGTATAACTTAACTCCAGTCTACTTTCAAAGTAATTGCATGGACAAAGCAAACAATACATTCTTCAAAATGTCTGCTTTTGCGTTTTCACGGGAGAGAGAAAGTAATAGGCTATGAGTTTCATAAAACATTATTTACATTTATGTGTACAGTGTTACTGTATATTGCAATCTTGAGGAAAGCTCAATGTTATGCCTGCTGTTTGTATTGGCTGTAATTTTGCTTGCCATGTCAGTTTCATAATTGGACCACTTGTCGCTAGTGCTGTAATTATGTGAAAATTTAAAATAAAAAAGATCAGGAAATAATTAGGTAAAATTAATTAAAATGTTAATATTTTATTTGAGTATTCTATTTTTGCATTAGATGGAGATAAGCATCATCTAAATGACTGTTTCAGAAAAGCAACACATTACAAACATGCAGTTCAGTACTGAAACCTGCCTTAAATATAATATACATATACATATTCCTAGCATGTAGGCTAAATCCATCAACACAAGAGTTCATTTTAAAAAGGAAATGCATTTTTTTTTCACACTCAGTGTTTTCAAACAGAGAAAGGCAATCTGGTACAGCATATCACAATCCTTAGAAAATCTGATGGAAAAAAATGTATATTTGAATTTATGACAAAAATATGTATCACAAAAAAAACTCAACATCACAGGTTTCTTTTTTTTTAGAGTCCTATCTGTACAGATCATGCATATAAATATGTAAAAATAGTACATGTATTTCTAATAGTATCTAAAATAAACAGAATTCCATAACAACAACCAAAAAACCACATAGACAAACCAGGCATCAAAAAAGCAAAGCAATATTTCCAAAATGCTGTAAAATTCTACAATTTAAATGGCGTACTGTGATAAGACTGCACAATAAAAGCATAAGCAAAAACTAAAATAAAAGTAATATGTCTAAATGTCTGTATCTGTCTGTTTTGCACAGATTTGTGCCTATGTTGTATGTTTCTTATCTACAACAAAATGTGATTAATCAGAGAAAAATCTTTACAGATATATCAATTCAAAGTGTCATACTGAGTGGCAAGTTACAAAACATGAAAATAAGTCTACAGTGATTTAATAATACTCTTTTTGTTGCAACATTTTCCTTATGCATATGTTTTTCTTATTATTATTATTTAAGCAAACAAAGAAAAAAATAGAAATAATAAATTATACTGAAATAATTGCCACCTATAAAAATATTGATATGGCCTATATATTATTCCACTTCCAACTGTATGTCTTGTTCTGTAACTGAGATGCTTACTGTTTCGAACTGCTACTTTTTGTTTCTGTATACTTTGTTGTCTTAGTCACTACTGTAAGAGTTCCCTCTGTTTTAGTAATCAGATGCTCTGAGGACATTTCATGGGTCAAATATTCAACGCTTGGCATCTTCACATAGAAACCTCCAGAGGCTTCCTCACTAGAGCAATGAAGAGAGGACTTGCTTCCTTTCGGAGAGCTTTCTGGTGTGATGTGAAGGATGCCAGTAGAATGGGGACTAAGGGTAAACTTGGGTACTTTGAAACATGTTGTTTCCTGTCTTTCTTCACTCTTCTTTACGGAGACAAACGCAGCTGATACTGTAGCTATTGGGGACTCGGATCCCTCCCGTTCTGCTAGCATTTCAGTCCTTGCTTTTGAATATACTAAAGTATCAGTCTCTCTCACTGTGCCTGATATTGTCTTTGTCTCCTTGCTTTCCCCCGAGGTCTCCTTCTCGAGACGTGTCATGCTTGTTTCCATTTCCTCTTCCTGAACCGTCTCTTTTGAGTAGGGTGAGAAAAACTCCAATTTGGGCAATTTCAGCTTTCCAAACATTGCTTTTTCATCTTTGTCACCATTTAGGCTTGTTCCATCATCAGACCCGCTTGGTGTTACATCAAACGATCCTCTCTGCCCAGATGAAAATGTGACTTTGGGTAATTTAAGCTTACCAGTTTTTGACTTCCCTTCAGTTTCAACCTCCTGTTCCAAATTTACTGCATTCCCCTTTTCATTTGATTGAGACTTGCCAAAACTCGACTTCATTTTTTTCTTTGCCAGCTTGAGCTTCTCATCTCCAATTTCTGCACTTGCTTCACCACCTACACTAGCAGTGCTCTCGGTTTGCGGATTCACCATAACAAATACAGCTTTTGTTACTTTTGGCATACGTGGGCCCTCATAGTCTACCTCAGAGTCTACGTTTACAGAGTGACCTTTTGCCCGAGATGATGTGATGTTAACTTCAGGTGAACTTAAAGATGGCAGAGGTATCCCAAACTTTGGAATTTTGACTTTACCCATCTGCTTTTTATCTTCTTCAGAGTGATTAGTGTCAACTTGGGCAGTCTCAATGTCAAAGTCAAGTTCGGGAATCTTTGGTGCTGGTAAATCAGCTGTCAAGTTTGCATCCTTTTTTCCAGGCTTGGTTATGTCAATTTCTAATGCAGATACTTTTACTTTTGGCATTCCAATATTAAATTTTGAACCTTTAACTTTTGGTCCTTTTCTTTTTTCTTTTGGTGCAGTGGGGCTAAGATCAATTTCTGGAAGTTTAGTCTTCTTTTTATTATTTTTTCCTTTTTTCGATAAGCCAAGATCCAACTCTAGATCCACATTAGGTTCCTCTATATATGTAGTTGGCATCCTCATCTTTTTACCCTCTTTATGTGCATCTTTAAGTCCTGCATCAGTAGAAGGAACTGACTTGTCTGCATCACTTGACATTACTATATCTACTTTTGGGATTTTAACATTTGACACAGTGAATTTTCCACCCCCTCCTCCAGATTCTACTTCTTTAGTATCAAACTCTCCAGTTTTACCTTTTGGTAATGATATGTCTACCTGTGGTATCTTAATATCAGGCATTTTATGTTGTCCACCTTTTACTTTCACAGATCCTGAAGCCCCAGTGTCGCCCGTTTTGCCATAGGGTAATGATATATCCACTTTAGGCATTGCTATTTTTGGTAATTCAAAGTTTCCACCTTGTTTTCTGATCTCTGTTTTTTCTGTATTCTCTTGTTGTCCTTCTAATGATATATCTACTTTTGGAATTTTGATATTAGGCGATTTGAATTTCCCTTCTTTGCCACACGCTCCCAGTTCAAGAGTATCAATGTCTTCTATTTTACCATGAGGTAATGAGATATCTACTGTTGGTAGTTTAATTCCAGGGACCGTGACTTTACCTTTTACTTCACCAGGCTGAAGTTCTGGAGCAACCTCTTTAGATTTTATTTTAGGAAAGGATATATCAACTGTTGGCATCTTTAATTTTCCACCTTCTAGTTCTGAATCTGGTGCATGACTTTCTCCTTTGCTTCCGCGAGGTAGCGATAAATCTATCTTAGGCACTGTGATGTCTGGCATTTTTAATTTACTTCCTTTAGCTCCAGATTCTGAATCAGGATAATCAGTTTCTTTTGTTTTTCCACGAGGCAAAGATATATCAACATCAGGCACTGCAATTTTTTCACCTTTAATTTCAATGTCAGCGCTAGATGTGTCATTTTTCACATGAGGTAATGATATTTCCACTTCTGGCATTCTTAATTTACCCCTCTTTCCAATCTCCACCTCATGAATACCTGTGTCTCCTGTTTTTCCATGTGGAAGTGAAAGGTCTACTTTGGGGATTTTAACATGGGGGAAATTTACCATACCTCTATTACTATCAATGTTTAAGTCAGAAGATTTTGAGTCTTCTGGTTTATGAAGTTTTACCCTAGGCAAGGAAACATCTAAATCAACTTTTGGAACTGATATGCCAATAGTTGGCATCTTAGGAATTTTTAAACTGCCCTCATAACCTCTGATATCTGCTTCAGATACATCAACCTCAGTTTTTGGAAGCAATACCTCACATTCTGGAATATTTGCTGTTGGCAATGATATCTCAACTGCTGGCATTTTGACCTTTCCTTTGTTACCCACTGCAGGCATATCTATTTCTACATCTTTGAGCTTTGCTTTTGGAGTAGGTGTCTTGAATTTGGGGAATTTGAGCTTGTATCTGACCTTGTCATCAGGACCCTCCACTCTGATTTCAGGTTTTGTAATTTCTCCAGCGTCTGCCTTTATCTTCATTTTAGCTTCAGGGCCAATTATTTCAATATCCTTTTCAGATGTTCCAATGGATGGCATTTTGATTTTGGACTTCATTTTGGCATCAGTTTCCACTGATGGTGATGTTTTTTCTATGTCCAAGCCTATAGATAAGCCAGGACTCTCTAGTTCTAGTTTGTCTCCACTTTTCAATTTTCTGCCAAATTTAGGGAGTGAAATTTTGGGCATTTTTACAGAGACGTCTGGAATATCAAAACTTGCCCCGGATGACGGTCTTCCACTCTCCGCCTTGAGAAGTTCAATATTGTCTCTATCACGGCCCTTTGCCATTGGAAGAGTAAAGTCCAGGTCAACTTTAGGAGCAGATATGTCGACAGTTGGTATTTTCACAGTTGGCAGCTTGATGTTACCACTTAAAGTGGACTCAGGTACATTTAAGTCACTAATTTTGGCACCAGTAGCTTTGGTCTTAGCATTACAATCTGTGGTTCCTGGCAGAGAGATATCTATAGAGGGCATGTGAAACTTTCCACCTTTGACATCAGGACCTTCAACATTGATTTCACCTCCTGATGGTTTTAATTTAGGCAAGGACACATCAACTTTAGGCAGTTCAAATTTTCTTCCCTTTCCTGCATGTCCTTCAACATCTACATCTCCTCCTCCTCCTCTTGGTAGAGAGATATCTATAGAGGGCATGTGAAACTTTCCAACTTTGATATCGGGACCTTCAACATTGATTTCACCTCCTGATGGTTTTAATTTAGGCAAGGAAACATCAACTTTAGGCAGTTCAAATTTTCTTCCCTTTCCTGCATGTCCTTCAACATCTACATCTCCTCCTGCTCCTCCTCTTGGTAGAGAGATATCTATAGAGGGCATGTGAAACTTTCCACCTTTGATATCGGGACCCTCCATGTCGATTTCACCTCTTAATGGTTTTAATTCAGGCAAAGACACATCAAATTCAGGCATTTCAAATTGTCCTCCTTTTTCTGCATGTCCTTCAACATCTACATCTCCTCCTGCTCCTCCTCTTGCTAGAGAGACATCTATAGAGGGCATGTGAAACTTTCCACCTTTGATATCGGGACCTTCAATGTCGATTTCACCTCCTGATGGTTTTAATTTAGGCAAGGACACATCAAATTTAGGCATTTTAATTTTTCCTCCTTTTCCTGCATGTCCTTCAACATCTACATCTCCTCCTGCTCCTCCTCTTGCTAGAGAGACATCTATAGAGGGCATGTGAAACTTTCCACCTTTGATATCGGGACCTTCAATGTCGATTTCACCTCCTGATGGTTTTAATTTAGGCAAGGACACATCAAATTTAGGCATTTTAATTTTTCCTCCTTTTCCTGCATGTCCTTCAACATCTACATCTCCTCCTGCTCCTCCTCTTGGTAGAGAGACATCTATAGAGGGCATGTGAAACTTTCCACCTTTGATATCGGGACCTTCAATGTCGATTTCACCTCCTGATGGTTTTAATTTAGGCAAGGACACATCAAATTTAGGCATTTTAATTTTTCCTCCTTTTCCTGCATGTCCTTCAACATCTACATCTCCTCCTCCTCCTCCTCTTGGTAGAGAGATATCTATAGAGGGCATGTGAAACTTTCCACCTTTGATATCGGGACCCTCAACATTGATTTCACCTCCTGATGGTTTTAATTTAGGCAAGGAAACATCAACTTTAGGGATTTCAAATTTTCTTCCCTTTGCTGCATGTCCTTCAACATCTAGATCTCCTCCTGCTCCTCCTCTTGAAAGAGAGATATCTATGGAGGGCATGTGAAACTTTCCCCCTTTGATACCAGGACCCTCAATCTCGATTTCACCCCCTGATGGTTTTAATTCAGGCAAAGACACATCAAATTTAGGCATTTCAAATTGTCCTCCTTTTCCTGCATGTCCTTCAACATCTACATTTCCTCCTGCTCCTCCTCTTGGTAGAGATATATCTATAGAGGGCATGTGAAACTTTCCACCTTTGATATCGGGACCTTCAATGTCGATTTCACCTCCTGATGGTTTTAATTTAGGCAAGGACACATCAAATTTAGGCATTTTAATTTTTCCTCCTTTTCCTGCATGTCCTTCAACATCTACATCTCCTCCTGCTCCTCCTCTTGGTAGAGATATATCTATAGAGGGCATGTGAAACTTTCCACCTTTGATATCGGGACCTTCAATGTCGATTTCACGTCCTGATGGTTTTAATTTAGGCAAGGACACATCAAATTTAGGCATTTTAATTTTTCCTCCTTTTCCTGCATGTCCTTCAACATCTACATCTCCTCCTGCTCCTCCTCTTGGTAGAGAGATATCTATAGAGGGCATGTGAAACTTTCCACCTTTGATATCGGGACCTTTAATGTCGATTTCACCTCCTGATGGTTTTAATTTAGGCAAGGACACATCAAATTTAGGCATTTTAATTTTTCCTCCTTTTCCTGCATGTCCTTCAACATCTACATCTCCTTCTGCTCCTCCTCTTGGCAGAGATATATCTATAGAGGGCATGTGAAACTCTCCACCTTTGATATCGGGACCCTCAACATTGATTTCACCTCCTGATGGTTTTAATTTAGGCAAGGACACATCAAATTTAGGCATTTCAAATTTTCCTCCTTTTCCTGCATGTCCTTCAACATCTACATCTCCTCCTGCTCCTCCTCTTGGTAGAGAGATATCTATAGAGGGCATGTGAAACGTTCCACCTTTGACATCAGGACCTTCATCATTGATTTCACCTCCTGATGGTTTTAATTTAGGCAAGGACACATCAAATTTAGGCATTTCAAATTTTCCTCCTTTTCCGGCATGTCCTTCAACATCTACGTCTCCTCCTCCTCCTCTTGGTAGAGAGATATCTATAGAGGGCATGTGAAACTTTCCACCTTTGATATCGGGACCTTCAACATTGATTTCACCTCCTGATGGTTTTAATTTAGGCAAGGACACATCAAATTTAGGCATTTTAAATTTTCCTCCTTTTCCTGCATGTTCTTCAACATCTACATCTCCTCCTGCTCCTCCTCTTGGTAGAGAGATATCTATAGAGGGCATGTGAAACTTTCCACCTTTGATATCGGGACCTTCAACATTGATTTCACCCCCTGATGGTTTTAATTTAGGCAAGGACACATCAAATTTGGGCATTTCAAATTTTCCTCCTTTTCCTGGATGTCCTTCAACATCTACATCTCCTCCTGCTCCTCCTCTTGGTAGAGAGATATCTATAGAGGGCATGTGAAACTTTCCACCTTTGATATCGGGACCCTCCATGTCGATTTCACCTCTTAATGGTTTTAATTCAGGCAAAGACACATCAAATTCAGGCATTTCAAATTGTCCTCCTTTTCCTGCATGTCCTTCAACATCTACATCTCCTCCTGCTCCTCCTCTTGGTAGAGTGACATCTATAGAGGGCATGTGAAACTTTCCACCTTTGATATCGGGACCTTCAATGTCGATTTCACCTCCTGATGGTTTTAATTTAGGCAAGGACACATCAAATTTAGGCATTTTAATGTTTCCTCCTTTTCCTGCATGTCCTTCAACATCTACATCTCCTCCTGCTCCTCCTCTTGGTAGAGAGATATCTATAGAGGGCATGTGAAACTTTCCACCTTTGATATCGGGACCTTTAATGTCGATTTCACCTCCTGATGGTTTTAATTTAGGCAAGGATACATCAAATTTAGGCATTTTAATTTTTCCTCCTTTTCCTGCATGTCCTTCAACATCTACATCTCCTCCTGCTCCTCCTCTTGGCAGAGATATATCTATAGAGGGCATGTGAAACTTTCCACCTTTGATATCGGGACCCTCAACATTGATTTCACCTCCTGATGGTTTTAATTTAGGCAAGGACACATCAAATTTAGGCATTTCAAATTTCCCTCCTTTTCCTGCATGTCCTTCAACATCTACATCTCCTCCTGCTCCTCCTCTTGGTAGAGATATATCTATAGAGGGCATGTGGAACTTTCCACCTTTGATATCGGGACCTTCAACATTGATTTCACCTCCTGATGGTTTTAATTTAGGCAAGGACACATCAAATTTAGGCATTTCAAATTTTCCTCCTTTTCCTGCATGTCCTTCAACATCTACATCTCCTCCTGCTCCTCCTCTTGGTAGAGAGATATCTATAGAGGGCATGTGAAACGTTCCACCTTTGACATCAGGACCTTCAACATTGATTTCACCTCCTGATGGTTTTAATTTAGGCAAGGACACATCAAATTTAGGCATTTCAAATTTTCCTCCTTTTCCTGCATGTCCTTCAACATCTACGTCTCCTCCTCCTCCTCTTGGTAGAGAGATATCTATAGAGGGCATGTGAAACTTTCCACCTTTGATATCGGGACCTTCAACATTGATTTCACCTCCTGATGGTTTTAATTTAGGCAAGGACACATCAAATTTAGGCATTTTAAATTTTCCTCCTTTTCCTGCATGTTCTTCAACATCTACATCTCCTCCTGCTCCTCCTCTTGGTAGAGAGATATCTATAGAGGGCATGTGAAACTTTCCACCTTTGACATCTGGACCTTCAACATTGATTTCACCTCCTGATTGTTTTAATTTAGGCAAGGACACATCAAATTTAGGCATTTCAAATTTTCCTCCTTTTCCTGCATGTCCTTCAACATCTACATCTCCTCCTGCTCCTCCTCTTGGTAGAGAGATATCTATAGAGGGCATGTGAAACTTTCCACCTTTGATATCGGGACCTTCAACATTAATTTCACCTCCTGAGGGTTTTAATTTAGGCAAGGACACATCAAATTTAGGCATTTCAAATTTCCCTCCTTTTCCTGCATGTCCTTCAACATCTACATCTCCTCCTCCTCCTCCTCTTGGTAGAGAGATATCTATAGAGGGCATGTGAAACTTTCCACCTTTGATATCGGGACCTTCAACATTGATTTCACCTCCTGATGGTTTTAATTTAGGCAAGGACACATCAAATTTAGGCATTTCAAATTTTCCTCCTTTTCCTGCATGTCCTTCAACATCTACATCTCCTCCTGCTCCTCCTCTTGGTAGAGAGATATCTATAGAGGGCATGTGAAACTTTCCACCTTTGATATCGGGACCTTCAACATTGATTTCACCTCCTGATGGTTTTAATTTAGGCAAAGACACATCAAATTTAGGCATTTCAAATTTTCCTCCTTTTCCTGCATGTCCTTCAACATCTACATCTCCTCCTGCTCCTCCTCTTGGTAGAGAGATATCTATAGAGGGCATGTGAAACTTTCCACCTTTGACATCAGGACCTTCAACATTGATTTCACCTCCTGATGGTTTTAATTTAGGCAAGGACACATCAAATTTAGGCATTTCAAATTTTCCTCCTTTTCCTGCATGTCCTTCAACATCTACATCTCCTCCTGCTCCTCCTCTTGGTAGAGAGATATCTATAGAGGGCATGTGAAACTTTCCACCTTTGACATCAGGACCTTCAACATTGATTTCACCTCCTGATGGTTGTAATTTAGGCAAGGACACATCAAATTTAGGCATTTCAAATTTTCCTCCTGTTCCTGCATGTCCTTCAACATCTACATCTCCTCCTGCTCCTCCTCTTGGTAGAGAGATATCTATAGAGGGCATGTGAAACTTTCCACCTTTGATATCGGGACCTTCAACATTGATTTCACCACCTGATGGTTTTAATTTAGGCAAGGACACATCAAATTTAGGCATTTCAAATTTTCCTCCTTTTCCTGTATGTCCTTCAACATCTACATCTCCTCCTCCTCCTCCTCTTGGTAGAGAGATATCTATAGAGGGCATGTGAAACTTTCCACCTTTGACATCAGGACCTTCAACATTGATTTCACCTCCTGATTGTTTTAATTTAGGCAAGGACACATCAAATTTAGGCATTTCAAACTTTCCTCCTTTTCCTGCATGTCCTTCAACATCTACATCTCCTCCTGCTCCTCCTCTTGGTAGAGATATATCTATAGAGGGCATGTGAAACTTTCCACCTTTGATATCAGGACCTTCAACATTAATTTCACCTCCTGAGGGTTTTAATTTAGGCAAGGACACATCAAATTTAGGCATTTCAAATTTCCCTCCTTTTCCTGCATGTCCTTCAACATCTACATCTCCTCCTGCTCCTTCTCTTGGTAGAGATATATCTATAGAGGGCATGTGAAACTTTCCACCTTTGATATCAGGACCTTCAATGTCGATTTCACCCCCTGATGGTTTTAATTTAGGCAAGGGAACATCGAATTTGGGCATTTCAAATTTTCCTCCTTTTCCTGCATGTCCTTCAACATCTACATCTCCTCCTGATATTCCTCCTGGCAGAGAGATATCTATAGAGGGCATGTGAAATTTTCCACCTTTACTTGCCCCTGTCGTTTTGCCTTCAAGGTCAGTGTGTCCTTTTACCTTCCCTTTTGGATAGGACATTTCAATTGATGGCGTATTTAACTTTCCTCCTGGGATCTGAGGAGCTTCAGCTCTCATTTTTCCTTCTGGAGCTTTCACTTTTGGCATTGAATTATCAATTTTTGGCATTTCAAACTTTACATCTGTTCCAGAATGACCTTCAATATCAACGTTTGTCTCAGCTTTAACTTTAGGCAAAGAAATGTCAATGGAAGGTGTGTGAACTGTGTTTCCTTTTGACTCAGGTCCTTTAACATTGACATGTACTGGTTTGGATTTCATCCTCGGAAGTGAAAGATCTAATTTGGGCATTTGAAACTTTCCTCCCTTTTTGACGATGACATCTCCCTTTACTTTTCCTTGTGGAAGAGAAATGTCAACATCTGGCAAATCTCCACCTTTCACTTCAGGTGCTTCCATATTGATTTTAGTCTCTGTTGATTTCATTTGTGGTAAGTTAATAACCTGTTTTGGCATATCGAACTTCCCTATTTTCCCAGAATGTCTCTTGACATCAACATCACCAGTGCCTGTTACTTTTGGAAATGATACATCAACGGATGGGATGTTGAATCTTTTGCTATCAGGCCCTTCAAAACTAATGTCACCCTGGGATGACTTCATTTTTGGCAAAGAAATCTCAACACCAGGAGCTTTCACTTCAGGCAGAGGGATATCAATCTTTGGCATTTCAACCCTTCCACATTTACCAGAGGGATCCACATTAATATCTCTTTCATCTTTTATATGTTGCAAGGAAATATCGATTTCTGGCATGTGAAACTTCCCAACTTTGGTATTGGGTCTTTTAACATCAATATCACTTTCTCCTGATTTGAGTTTAGGTAGACTTGTATCAAATTTAGGAATTTGAAACTTATCTCCATGCTCAACCTCAAGATTATTGTGTTCATGTGTTTTTCCTTTTGGTAATGAAATATCAACTCCAGAAATGCTTACTTCATGACTTTCAGAAATGATTTTACCCTCTAGCAATGGCATTTTCAGATCAATTTTGGGCATTTCCGCTTTACCAGAATGACCCTCGATCTCAACGCCAGCCTTTACGTTTCCTTTTGGTAATGATATATCAACGGATGGCATTTGGAATTTCTCAACTTTGACCTCTGGATCCTCAGTATTGATTTTACCTGTGGATAATTTCATTTTTGGAAGTGAAGCATCTAGATGTGGCATTTTGAATTTGCCTCCTTTCCCAGATGGTTCTCCAACCTCAACATTTCCCTCTGTTTTGCCTTTAGGAAGTGAAATTTCAATGGATGGCTTACTCAATTTTCCTGCTTTTATTTCAGGCCCCTCAGTAATGGCGTGCTCAGGAAATTTTACATCAGGTAGGGAGACACCTAAGCTAGGCATTTTAAACTTTCCCCCTTTTCCAAACTGGCCCTCAATATCGGCACCCTCCTCTAATGTTTCTTTTGGTAAAGAAATGTCGACCTTTGCTCCTTTCTTAGTATAACCTTCCACTTTTTCTTCTGCTTTACCTTTTGGTAATGAAATAATGATATTTGGCTGGTGATATTTTCCAGTTTTTGCTTCAGGTTCTACAACTATCACTTCACCCTCAGGGGATGTTATTTTTGGAAGAGAGATGTCTAATTTTGTCACTTTAAATTTTACCCCAGTACTTGCATGTCTCTCAGTATCAATGTTTTTTGCAGCCATCTTTGGTAATGTCACATCTAATGTAGGAAGACCCATGTCCACGTCTGATGTCTCTATCTTGGGCACTGCAATGTCAAGTTGGGGGAGAGAAATCATATGCTCTTTGACCATGGATCCATCAATGTCATCTCCAAGTTTTGCATCAAGGTTAAGCTTTGGTAATGATGTGTCAAGTTTGGCCGGGTTGATTTTTTCAGCATCTTTGAATTCAGCCATGCCCTTAGTTTTTGAGAGATGCAAGTCTAAATCCACATTTGGTGCTTTGATGTCAATCTTGGGCGTTTTCAGTTTACTTTCATATGTATCGTTTTGTTTATTTGCCTCTCCATCAATTTCATCAGAATGACAAGAAAGTCTTACCTTTGGCAGTTTAAACTTTGGGATTGTCATCTTTGTATCTGAGACATCTAAATTCATCTTTGGCATTTTTATCTCAGGACCCTGTCCTTTTCCTTTAACACTAACCTCAAGATTAGGAACATTAGTTTCAGCTTTGCCCTGAGGCATGTTCAAATCGCACTCTACTGACGGAGGCTTAGTTCTGGCCTCTAGGCCCTTCACCTCAAAGCTGTCATTTGAAGATTGTACATCTAATTTTGACTTTTTCAATTTGGAGAAATTCATTCCAAATTTTGGACCTTTCGCCTTGACCTTCATCTTTGTTGCAGAGGCCTCTCCCTCATGTGTTGCAACATCTACATTGACATTCCCTTCACCGACAGCAGCATCCATGACTTTTATTTTTGGAAATCTCATCTCCTTCTTCTTCTTGCTACTAGGGATCACGCCCTCCATATGTCCTGATACATCTGCAGTGGCCCTCCCACCTTTCCTCATCTTGAACTTTGGGAATACAAACTCAACATCAACTGGACTGAGGTCTGATTTGGCTGGTGAGCCCTCAGTGTCCAGCTCTGCCTGTGCTTTTGCTTTTTTGTTTTCTTTCAGTCTTTTCAATCCAAATCTTCCTCCTCTCCTTTTCTTGGCTTTGAACGGTTTCACGGTTTTGACGCTCTGCAAGAGAAAGGTTATCATTCCTTCTAGTTTCTACTGGTGTAATTACTTTGATTTAATAACATGAATTCACTTTGGGCAATACCGTGGATGTATTTTATAGCAATATTTCAGCATGTACCATTCTTTGCATCTTGGCCTTAGGTCCTCTGAGCTCAAGACTTTGTGCACCTGGACGAATGCTGACTTCACTTCCTGGCACAGTCCTCTTCAAAAAGAAGGACACTTTGTAGGGTTCTGCACACTGAAGAATTTTTAATGCGTCCTCATATTTCACGTTATCAAAATACACCCTGGCACTTAGCAGCTGATCTCCTGCAATAACACATCATCAAAAATTATTTATACCTTACATGATTTCTCTTAGTACATCAGGAAACAAAATCAATTCAGTACACCCGTATTCAGCATGGAAATGTTGCACATTAAAGATTGTGAGGTTAAAGTTGGTTCTCCCATGTGCCTCGTCTTTATAGTGTATTTGACATAGCACTTTGTAATGTAAAATACAGTCCCTGGGTACCTTTCTGTAGGCTGAGGTGCTTTGCTGCTGGGGAGTCTCTCAAGACCTCTTGGATAAAGATGCCACGCTCCCCTCCACCCACCACACTGTACCCACTAGCTCCAACTTCAGCCTGTGTTTCAACAACCACTTCCACGAGCTCTGACAACTGGTTATCCTTTTCCGCCTGCTCATAACATTTGCAAAGTAAAAAATGGTGAAGGGTGAGGGTCAAACAAGTAATTTCCTTTCAAAAACAGGTTTCTAAGGGTTTCTAAAAGCTGTTAGTCTCACATTACACTAATTATGCTTTGAGTGGTATACTTTCATATTTTCATATGGGCTTAAGATGTTCATATTGTATTCCACAACAGTGTTTTTTTTCTTACCCCATTCTTATTGTCTGTGTTGGGGGGTTCCTCCATGTCTCTGAGGGTGGATTGGGTGTCTCTAAGCTGGCTTCTCTTCTGACTCAAAACTTGTTTTAGTTCTGCATGGAGTTTTTCCTTCTGAACCTTGGAAATGAATGTGGAGTGAAATTAAGATTGAGAGAGGTTAGAAATCCACATCTCCACATGGCTGGCTCACATATAGCTTAGAATTATATTTGTAGTACTCACAATTCGCTCTGGGCTGTCCTGTTCATCAGCAGAGATGCTGTGGTGTGTACTTAGATGAGGGCCAAAAGGAGGTCTATCTGAGGGGGGAGAGCGTCTTTTGTTCTTTACCTAATTGTAAAGTGGCAAACAGGGCAGAGATAAGATCAATAAAATAAAACAGCCACCTTCTTTCACTTTAAAGTGGTGATGGTTTGGCAAGTGGCTACCTACGGGAGAATCTCTGGCTTCTGGATTCCCATGACTGTCCTCTCTGTCAGAGTCTGAAATTAGAGCAGGTTTATGTCAGCAGCTGTCAATCAAAATGACTTGTTTGTCATAACTGTATTATAGTTGTTGTAATAATGCATTTCGGCTGATTTACACTAGTGTTAATTTCATTAACAATATCTATGACTAATGTTCGTTAATTACCTTTTTTCCATGACTATGACGAGACAACAACACCAACGTCATTAACTGATAACTGTGACCATATCAACATGCAATATTATTGACGAAAAAATATTAATTGTATTTAATATTATACTGTTTTTAACAAGCCTTTCTTACGAGGTTTCATGCTTGAGGTTGCCAGATGTCAAGATTTTAAATCCTCCAATTAGAGCTGAACTGTAATAGATCCAAAGATCTCTAGACTAGATTGTGGTTGCTCAATAAACGCACTTACGCAACTCTGTGTGACAATACAAAGTCTTTTTTCTGTTGTTTTAATAGAAAAACATTACTGTCATTTGGAATTATTGGAATTAACCTACTATTAGTAATTTTACTGTTTTAATTTTTGAGAGAAGTTTGTTAATGTAGAGAGAGTTCAAATAAACAACGCAATCGAGTTAACATTCTCTTGATTTGTGCTTATAGGTGAAAGTACAATAATTCTGATAAAATGTAGAAATAAATTTCTCAGATGACAACAATCTTTATTATAATTTTGAGAAAAATAATTGTGATTGTCAATTGAACTATTATGCCGCATGGCGAAAATGTGACTACTTTTTCATTTACTAAAACAGGACAAAATTTCCCAGACACTTAGGCCCGGTTTCACATACAGGGTTTAGATTAAGCCAGGATTAGGCCTTAGTTTAATTAGTGGCTTATATGACCATGCATTAGAAAAAACATTAGTGATGTGCATCTTGAGACAAAACAATGACACTTACATATTTTAAGTTTTGTCAGTGCAAGTTGCTCTCAGTTAAAACAGCTCAAACATGCATTTTAGTCTGAGACTAGCTTAAAGGTACAATATGTAAGACTTTTTTTTTATATCCAAATATCCCAAAACCACTTGCACAGTGTTATATACTGTATTTCTTTCAGCTGTGTGCTGACATTATCCTAAATGTTTCAAAAAAATTGTAAATTCAGAGAAATTCACAATTTTAAATAGTGCCCATCCCTTGTAACTTGTCGTCTGTCAATGACGTAATATCCGCGTTATCCCTGGTTTCCGCTTGTACTGCCATAGTACCATGGCGACAGACGTGGACAACTGCGTTACGTCTAGCAGCACGCTCACGCTGTTGTTGTTTCGTTCAAACATTATGGACCATGGCAAGCAGACTTTGGGACAAAATGAGAAATAAAACGAGGATCAATATCGGCGTGGGATTTTCGAGATGCTGAGAGCTCCACGTCCGCGACTAACTTCGACTTGACAGAGCTTCACGACTTGACACGCTCTTGCATGTACTTAATCAGACAGGTGAGCAACTGTACATAAAACAAATCAATCTTGTACAGCTCAACATGATGAAATGTTAGAATATGATCAGTATGTTATTCTAATGTTGATCTCGCTTACTGCTAGTCTCATACAGCCAACAAACTAACACATAGAATAACATTATAACTTTCACCACACTCAAATGCAGTTTAGTGTGATAGTGTAGACCAAGTGAAACAGCGCTGCGTTACCTCACAAGTTTCATTCGTCTAATAAACTGACCTGTGTGAGTATTAATACAGCACTTGCGGGTAGTTCGGTAGAATGAAATGTCCTTATTCCTATATATCCGCGGGACTCGTGTGTGGCGCTGGTATACGTCTCTCATTAGCAATCGCGCCCTGCTTCATACCACAGTCATGTTAAAAACATGAATGTATTCACTCATCCATAAACATTATTAGATCCATCGGCATGACGACAAGTTCCATGATTCCGCTTATTCACTGCGTCATCAACCTACGCCTTTGTTATTGTAAGAGGTTAGCGACCCCTAGTGGCGAATAAAATTACATATTGTAGCTTTAAGCCTTGTCTGTGAAACCGGGGGTTAGTTGACTAAAACTTGACTAAACAAAAACAGAACAAGCTGACTAAATGTGATAAAACAAAAACAGAACAAGCTGACTAAATGTGATAAAAACTACAAAGTATATTTGAAACCGGACTAAGGCTAAATTAAAAATAGCTGACAAAATTAACATTCATTTTATACCATGTACCATTGTGAAAAGAAGGTATACTTTATCATACTTTTAAATAGACTATTTATTTATCTGTGATACGCTTGAAAATTTTCAAACTCTTTTAATTATATTACAAGACCTTAATGCATAATGTCTCCTGTGTTGGCTAGCATCAACCTCACTATATCAACTGTGTTGTTATCTCTGAGACTAAAAAAAGATCATCAGGTTAGTAGGCCTTGTGTCCTCTCTCAATCTGGATGGTTCTCATTCCTCATTCGGCAGCGGTGTCTGGTATCTCTCTGTCGTAAGAGTGCAAACCTTAAGAGATCTGTAGACCAGCGAGCGGGTAATTTCTAATGGGCTCAGACACCCACATTGAATAACCTGTTACACAAGACATGCACACTTAACATGGCGCTAGCAGGTGTTCTTTTATCATGCTGTACCAGCTGTGTGCTTCCCAATGTTTCCCAATCTTATTTAGTCCCACAACCGCATGTTATACTGCTCAAGTTGTTTTTTAAATACATTACTATAGTATTTTTTATAAAATAAAAACAGGTGTCCTTTAAAAGGAACTGCAAAAATCAGGCAAAATAATATTTGTTTATGCATTTCTGTGTGCCTACGATTGACTGGCCATCATTCCAGAGTGTTTCCCTGCCAACGCCCTGACACCCCACTACCCTACATAGGACAAGCAGTTTTGAAAATCGATGGATGGGTGTGTGTGTGTGTGTGTATTTGTGCGCGTTTCTGTTTGTGAGTGAAAATGGCAGCTGTTCCCTAGTGATGCTATGTGTCCAGGGGAGGGGACAGAAGACTGGATGGTTCTGCACATATCTGATCTTTATATAAACACGCGGGCCTGACCTACATGTGCTTCTTATGCAGAGCTGTGAGATCCTACAAATGCTGCTGTACAAGTAATAATCAAGCTAGGTGCGCCTCAGCCAAATATAACCGCAATTATGCACAGCTATCGAATGCTCCCGTTTTATAATTAATACTTAGTACTTGAGAAAGAGAAAGTTAAAAGTTTGTCTGGAGGTAAGAAAAGCTCATTTACACATAGATTAATGGCACCAACTGTTCTCTAGTCTAGGGAACTGATCCGTAACGTTGAGAACAGTGATACAGAGGGAAATTAAAATGTGACTTTCCACTTCAGAACACACCAAATTTAATTTATTCATCATGATTTTTTATTTTTTTTAAGAAAATGTTTTGTTCTAGTGGCCAAAAATGATACCCAGCCTAGGAAATCTTGGTAACGCTTCCTTTTACAGTCCTGTTACCCATGTACTTACTATGTACTTATTATAGTAATTATAATTACTGGGTAATAACTAGGTACTAACCCTGAACCTACCCCTAACCCATGTACTTACCTTATTAGCCAGTACTTTCTAGGTATGTAGATGCAAGTACTGTACTGTAAAAGGAAGCGTTACCAAAATCTTAGCCTTTATTCAAATATTATTACAAATTTGTTAAAGATTTTGTGAGCATATTATGTATATTATTTGAGCTTGGAGTCAATTGTTGGTCACACTTTAGATTAGTGTCCAATTCTCACTATTAACTTACTATTAACTGCAACCTCAATAAACTCCTAATTACTGCTTATTAATAGTAAGCTAGTTGTTACATTTAGAAATTGGGTAGGATTAGGGATGTAGAATATGGTCATGCAGAATAAGGCATTATGTGCTTTATAAGTACTAATAACAAGCCAATATCACAGTAATATGCATGCTAATAAGCAACTAGTTAATAGTGAGAATTGGACACTAAAGTTTTACCCAACTGTTTTATTTACATGTAAATAAAATGCATGCAAAAAGAAGGGAGAACGTATATATGGGTTTTCCCTTGAGCATTTGTTTTTCCTATACATTTTATTTTTGCATAGTAAAATAAAACCTGTAGCTGTAGTTTGCCTTTTATGCCAAATAATTTTGTCTATGAGTAAAACAATAAGAGTGTCCAAACTTTTGACTGATAGTGTATATAATTGTACCTTTTTTATCTACATAAATGAAATTAATACAAATTGAGTTAACTTTCTGATTCAAACCAACTGCCTCAACCTCCTCTGTTCTATTATGTCCTATTGAACACACATGCCCGCCACTTACAGGGACAGCAGAGGACAGAGGTGTAATTCTGTCGCTGTTGATTCAATACAGTCACAAGATCATTTGGTATGAGAATAGGCACTTGATAATGGCACAAGAACTACAACTGGACCAATGCCATAAGCCAACAGTTGCCCACACGGGTATTTGTCCATCTCTAATCCAAACAAAGACACAAGGATAAGTATGTGTCCTGAGATATAATGGTCCTGAGATAACAAACTCTGTGTGAAACTTTGAGAATCGTCACAAAGATATCTTAACTTATAGATCTAAATGTGTTTATGAGAAACAAGGTCAACTATACTCGGTTTAAGTCACCGATGGTTGCGGTTGTTTCTGCATTGCTGACATTCTCAGAAAAGATCCGAGACTATTTTCTGGAGGCTGAATGTGGATGCTCAGAAAACGAGTTTTGATTATTATTGATAATTTGATGCATGTGCAAAAAGGTTCACCTCTAAAAAATCTGTCTTTTGGTGGTTTAATTTTGCATTTTGCAAAACTGAGAGTCCATTATAAAAGCAAACGTGAGAGTCCTTTGTAAAAACAAACATTATCCCTAATGCAGACACAAAATTTAAATGACTCAAAATGAGAGTTTTGAAATTTTTAATATGGATTAGCGTGGAGGTCATGTTTGTGCCCACCTAAAGGTTAATTAAATTCATTACATATAAAAATGACAGTCTCTCTCTCTC